AATTAAATATCCCTGAATCTTTATTTTGTATCATTTATTTTGATCCCTTTGTCATAATATTTACATGGCAAACATCACTGATATATACTTTTTGGCTTGCAGCCACGGCTGCAAGCCATTTCATTTGGAAAACTTGTTCCGGTAGGTGGTTTCCTGCTTACATCTGTTGGTGCATGATTGAACAGGAAACCAGCTGCAATCGTGCCAATCGCAACTTTTTGGTCACTCTTCGGATTAATGATAATAGCCGATGTAGTTCCGATTGCATCATACTGCGGAATCAGACGACGTAATATTACGGAAATCTAAGCTATTTTAGTTACTTCGGTAATCCCAGTTTGTTTATATAAATAGGATTTCTATTTTTACTTGATTACCGTAATAAATTATAAACGAAATTGTTCCGTTTCAATTGTTTTTCAAGACGCAAAAGTTAGTTTCTTTTATAATTGTTTTTTGTCTGTATTAGTTTTATACAATAGAGAATGGTAGTAGTATTCCGTCTTCCTGCTTACCAAATCACGCATGATCGAGTTATATTTAGATCTACTGAACGCAATTCAACTTCTTGGTGAGGTAATCTAAAAATAGCCCATGCATATCATTAACCTTGCCACATAGCGCATCGTCTATTTGTGATCGTGTAACATAGTTGATACATGCTTATTAATTGGTACCACGTAACGAAGTATTTTAGTGCATTTACTTGTCTATAAAGCAAATGCGAAAAAGGGGAAATGAAATGTGCACACTTGTTTTCCTTCAGTATATCACGTTAGTATTTTTACGATTGATCATTTTCTTTATTAGTTTTATACAATAGAGATAAGAGAACCAAATAAACCCTTTATGATATACAAATACCGTAATTCAAAAAAAAATGTGATAATAAATTGAAACCAAAAAAAAAAAACAATTTTAAAGGGTTGGGATGAAGGCACAACTGTGCAAGCCTTTCCTTTTAAAAGGAAACTTTATTAGCTTTGGAATATACGGATATTTACGGACATGTCAAACAGGTTGAAGAATTAGGTCACGCCATTATATCGATGCATTGTGAGAATCGCTCAGTTAGTCAAAGTTTGGGAAGCCTGACCCATCTTTATGCTAGATTTTTCAGTCAATTAGAATCAAAGATGTCTGTTTTAAAATGTCAGCATAAATTTAGGAACTTTCAACAGACAGAAATGTGATTTTAATAAGAACACACTATTTATAAGTCTATTTATTATCTACAAAGTCTGACGGTACTGGAAACATGTTTTTGGTCATTTTTTCGACTCGAAACAAATGCGAAAGAATTTCGTGACACTGTCGTAAATGTTAGCAATCAGTAGCTAGTGCATTTTGCAAAAAAATTGAAAGATTTGTAAATAGATCGATACAATGAATAGCACGATACAATGGGGTTCCACTATACACAGTATATTTCATTTTTTTTTTTAAATATAAATAGAAACAAATTTCTCAACTGAACAACAATGGTATTATATAGATAAATTGAATACAAACAATTTAATTATTTTATCTCGGGTATATGATATTCAAAGCTTTAGCCCTACATTTATCTATTGCTGAAAACATCATATAAGAGATGTTAAAACATAATAAACTAATAGAAATTTTTACCTTTTCTCTAGCTACTATTTCGGTATTTCTTAAGATACAATTTTACTACCTGGTCACATGATTCTAAACATAAATCAACAGTTTACAGTATACGTGTACACGTATATATTGAACTTGTCTATGCTTTAAATACCAACCAACACACAATGAAAACCGTAGCGAGTTTTATTGTTTTGTTGTTGTTTTTTCTACGAAAAAGCTTTTGATAAGGCATGTACCTGAAAACATTCACGTTTCGAAACATAAAACATATTTAAGTTAATGCCTCAATCTTTAAAGCGTTTTAACTATTCATTTTATATTTTAACTGTGACATATTAAACTATGTTAATTAATCGTATTGTTTATCTAACTATAATATACAACTTAACGATTATTTCATTTCTGCAAAAGGCAAATGTTGAAATACAAACGTCAGAAATAGCATTATCAAACGCTTGTCAGACGTAAAACAACGCCATGTACATTCAGTCTGAGATATTATATGTCTGCTCCTTTAACAGACTGGCCATAGTTTTTGCAGAAGCAGTGGATCCATCGTAGCGGCGGTTGAGAATTCGTCGCAGAAGAAGTGGATAAAATATGGATGTTTGCTGTTGTCGGTAAGTTAATGACTAAAGTTTACTTTGTTTAAATGTTTTACTGGAAACATCTAGTGAGACGGGAGCCCACATATGTACTCTTCCAACTTATTAGACGCACACGTTACAATGCATTACCATTTATGCAAATACTTCTGTACAGTTTGACGAGGGACGCCACTTTGTCCAAATTTAAATTTATATAACATAAAAAACAAAAAGGAAAAAAAACACACCAAAAAAACACAACACGGTCTGTTAAAGTAATAAAAATGAAATTATTCTCATCAAATGGACATCATCTATTCATGGGATAATATAATGCAATTTGTTATGCATAATATCTAACTTCTAGTCATTGTAGATCTTAAGAAGAAGATTTGTAGAATCGTTTGCCCTAAACGTGTATATAAACTAAGTGACCCCAGTTTCGACTCCATGGGTATGTTATTTTTTCTTTTTTAAAACAGCTTCCTTGGCTAGAGGACTTGATGATGTTTCTAATTTGTCTACTCGATAAGAGTGTCTTCTGGAGCGAGGCTGATTCTGATTCACTGGGCATAATAAATAGAGGATATAGAATGAGTGTCAGTTCAATACTAAATTTATTGCACGAGTTGAATAAAAATATATTATGCGAGCCGTTGGCGAGCATTATATTATTTTATTCAACGAGTGCAATAATTTCAGTAATGAACTTACACGAATTTAATAATCTATTTATCACATACATAAAATAAATACCGTTTAAAGTATAATTAGAGTCATTTTTCATTTACGCGCCTAAAGTATAACGCTAATATTTAGCGCGTCTTTACACTATGTTTGTAAAACGCTGATGACGTCACGTCAAAATATATGCACGGCCGTGCAATACCATATTTACGGAGTCGCAAAATCGGCACGGGTGTGTGATAAGTAACAATAGAAGAAAGAGATTGTTGACTTCATTGTTTAGGTAATTGCCTCTCCACCAAGAGATCGTGAGATTGAACACAGCTGTGACTGCGACCATGCTTATATAATTATGATGACGAATTTCATAGTTTTAGTAAGGAAGATGCATTGACGTAATTACCATGTATACTTAGTTTACATGTAAAATCGGATAATAACAAAGTGACCCTTTCGTTTTTGCAATCTTGGGATATAGAACAAATTTATATACCCTTTGTAGAAGCTCATTTTGAAAATATTCGTAGGTAAAATTCACGCATCATAGTTTCGTGTAAGACTGCCAAAATAACTATGAAAAAAAAAACATAAAAAAAAAACAAATAAAAAAAAATAACAAAAAATACCATGGAGCAATAATAAAAAGGTTAATTTGCAAAAGTTTGATTTTGTCCCTTCAAGATAACGAAAGGTGCGACGTTTTTTCCATAAGCGACATTCAATTTTCAACAATTCACTAGTGGTTAAGGTGTCTTCCTCTCAACCAAGAGATCATGGGTTCGAGTCTTTCGAATTCTCGGGTCACGACAATGTTTCTTTATATGACACCAGTATTTGTTGGTTCCAAGAAGCGGACTCAAAAGTGATTAATATAAGTTGCAAGAACTTGTTGCGCAATCGGGCTTAAATACATATGTCTTAACCAAGAAATATCCACACATATGTTTATTCAGAAACGTCAATGATCAGGTAGAACCAATTAATTTTCTTAATATGATATATACACCGAAAGGGCACAACAGAATTGTTAACGAAGTGAAAAAAAAGCCTGACCTCAGAGCCATAATTTTTAGAAGTGGTAATATATTTTGACTCTATGTATTTAAGTGTCACGCGAGAAAACTTCTATGTAAATTTATAAATATATTAAATTAATCGAGCCGTGGTCCGGCACAGGGCTGGACAAAATGAGTTTGAATAGAACCTCATGTTGTTGTTACATGTCAAATATCTGTGAGTTAGGCATTGTAGTTTCTGAGGAGAGGTTTTGTAAGTTTTAAGCTTTGTTTCCAGATTTTTATACTTGACAACAGCTGTGTGGCAGCTGTAAAAAGTTGTCCCGTACTTCACTTCAGTGTTGTTATATTTTTCTGGTCAATCGGGATCATTGATGCCAGCATTATTAAGTGTTGAGAATTGAGTACCGCTCAAGCCGGTGCTAGGGGTGCATGAGGGATGTTGCACGTATTCATCATCCCTCATGTATATACTTAATCAAATAGATAAACACAACATCCCTAAAGAAAGCCCAACACAGTCTGAAATTCTCTTGTAATTTTGTTGTGAATAATGCTCCTGAAGATCACTTTGTTTTAAGATTTTTAAGGTCTACAAATGTAAAGGAAATAATAACCAGTAACAACATATACAACGGTCATGCAATCTATTAAAAGTACATACCTAAATACACTGATAATACTCTCTGGTCCTGGTTAACGTTATTATAAAAATAAAATTGAATAATTCTAACAAATGACATGGTTCAAAAGTTTTTTAACTGAGATAATGATTTCATTTGTAGTACAATGAGATAACAGTGTTCGATTGTTTGTTGTTTGGGTTAAAATTCTCACTAACGGTGTACAGGTAATATTGTCACGTATCATCTTTATTGGTTGAGGCAGACTCCAAATGCACAACGGTACATTAATTTGGCCCGAGCGGCCACTGATATATTTATCCTGATAGCTCCCTCACATGAAAGAATCGAAAGTCACGTGTTGAATTTGAACATCACAGCAGGGCGACACAATTACTTTATATATGTTTGCATATTAAGTGTGACGAAAGCCCACATTGTTTGGCCAAGGGGTATTTTTTTTTATATCTTTTGTACAAGCCTTTTAGATCCTTTTTATTTAAATTCCATGCATTGTTTCTCACGAGTATAATTAATTGAGATTTCCTTTAAATTAGATAATTTTCTTTTCATTAAACTAAGTGATTTCCGTGCTTTGCTTATGTATTCAATTTATCGACGAAGGCAGGCACATGAACTCTTGTAAGTAAATAATCCCATTTCCTAGTGTTATATTTATGTGTAAACAAATCTTGCAACGCAATTGTGCAATTAACATACGAATGGTGTTTTATTAATGAGGTCTTGAATACAAAACATGATTTAGTACATGAATTACTAATAAAACAGACACTACAAAAGGTGAATAGATAGTGTACTTATACTTAAAAAACAGCTTTACTCATCGAAGTAGTTCATTCATCCTTTTCTTTTTAATTATTCAAAGCTTTTTTTATTTCATCATGAATACAAACATATGAGACACTGTATGTTAATACCCACTACATAGTAGCATAACACTTTACATATCAGAATTCAATGTGAAGCTGAAATATCAACATTTTATATGGTTACGTTCAAAGATTATTTTATCCTGGGTAAGGATCTGACGAAAGTTATTAAAATTATCATTACTTTAACTTGTTCAAGGCATTTAATCGTTTGTAAAGTAAGCTTATCTATTTTAATTTAAAGGAATTTCCATTTAGAATTGAAGTTTTTGCAAACTATCACTGCAAGAGAACACCCTATCTACAATTATTAATGAAAATTACAAATACACACACAACGACACGAAAAAAATAGCATTTAATAAGCATTATTTTATCACACACACACACACGCCCGCACGCACGCGCACACGCACATAAAATATAAAAGAATAACATAAAAAATTGTTGCAGTGCCTTGCCGGTATAATGTTGTATCTGTACGACCCTCTGTATATTGCAACGTATCAGCAACCTAATGTTTATACTTACTTCAGGATCAAGATTTCTTTGGTTTGACAAAGTGACAGCTAACAGCCAGACAGACGAAAATAATAAAATGACATACATAATCATCATATACAAAATATCATCAACCTAGCTTTGGCACTTCTTGAGTAATAGCACTATCCAGCTAAATTTTTATTGGTTTTCATCTTTCCGTAACCATATCAACCTCAATGAAAAGAATAAATATCGTACAAGACCGTCCACATTCCATGTTTGTTAAACAAAGGTTTTGCATTTTATTCATGACTGAAACCAGAATATGTGGTCGAATGTACGGGCAAAGAGTAAACCTCTAGCCAAAACGGTTACCTACGTAGAACCACCGACGTTCTTAAAGCTAGCTGAATATTTCGTTTCTCACAGTCATAGAGAATCTGGAAATGCAGGAACAGCTGGTCCTACAGCGGCGATAGGCAAGTGGCTAGAAGTCATCAGCCTTAACGACTCAGCAACAGCAACCCTAACGTCTGATTTCATTTATCTGTGTTAATCACCCATAACAATATCAAACACAGTAATAGCTTCACATGAACAAATCCTACGCAAGCTTTACAAAATGATATAAAGTAAAATGGCTTTACGAATATCCAACAACTATAAACAAAAAGCTGCAAACAACTATAAGATTATTCATATCAATAAAATAATGAAACTAAGTTTCCATGGCGAATGAAATAGAAAAGAAATAAGCAGCTTACAATATACAAAAACACAAACATAAAATAAAAACATAAAAAAATACAACAGAGATTTAAACTCTACAGGCTGTAACTGTCACAGAAGTTGATTATAATAGGGTCTATTCCATAGACATTCCTTTATTTGTTTATTTATTTATTTATTCATTCATTTATTTATTTATTCTAATTTATTACTTTCTTTTAAAATTAAAACCTGTGCATAGTTTTGTGTTTAAATAAAACATAATTTTACTACAGATCCATAATAATCATTATATGATTGCTTTTTTAACTTAAAGGGCACATAAAGTATCAGGTTATGACTACAAAATCCATTGCTAAATCAATGTTCTTATTAGTACATTTGTAAATAAGACTTAAAAATAATCATCTCTATTACACGCAAACTAACATCTGTCTACAACAATTAATAAACCATACAACAATTAATAAACCATACACTATAATGCACGTGCTGCAATCTCACAAATACTTTCTAATTTTGTAAGAGTTCATACGCTGTATTATCGTTTGAATAACTTGTCAGTTCTGTATATTGCTTATCTGATTCTTTTTCAATAACTGATGTCTCTTCTTCATTTTGTCGTACCACTGTAATGTCGGAAAGATTAACTATGTTGTCGTTCCTATAACAAGAAATGAATGTGAATTCCCTATTTGTTTCTTTTGTTTTGAATCTAAAAGTTAAACATATTAGTTATGCCGTATATTTAAAGATCTAATAATATGCTTGTAGACAAGGACGGACACGCTTTTATATCAAAATTCGTTTTTATGAACCAACTGCTTTTTTGCATTTTATGAACATACTCCTTACATAAACTTTATTTATCTATTTATCGATAACAAACATTCGAACTGACATTTAAGGAAAATAAATAACCAAATATTAAGTAAAATAAAACAACAAACAAATTGGCACAAAAAGGAAGGGACTATTACAAAACTGCAAGACTTACGTATTGTTTCCATCCAGGTGTGATGATGTACCTAGAAGGGAAAGTAATATTCAAGATTTTAAAGCAATTACGACCCCCTAGAGCATTACCTTTGTTTTGCTTAGTATTCAAATAGGTTCGAATTACTGTCAACTGCATTGAAACAGAGGGGCGAAGGTACAAACCCGAAAAGGGTAAACTTTTTTTCTTTCTTTTTTCTTCTTTCAATCTTATTTATGTAATTCTCTGAAAAAGACATTAATTATTTAACTATAAGTGTAACTGATTTGCTCAATATTGCCAAAATTTATAACAAATGTTGTACCTTGTTTTTTTTAAAGTTAATTAATTTAAAACAAAAACAAAAAAACATTTCATTTGCATGACAAGATCAACCAAAACCAAAATTTAGGCAAACTCTGAAAACAGTCCCTCATTTTGCTAAAATTGAAAGAATATTTTAAATAAGGATCTTTAAAAAGGCAAATGATCACATAAGTGTTTAAAATGAGAGGAATAGTGTAATTTTGATACATATTTCATATTACATATTTGTGTAGAATTCTAACACTCCTCGTGATTTTGTCACCATACACAAAGAAGAAAAAACAACTTTAAACTGCCAATAAACACTTGTTAGGGAATACATGTACATGCGGCTGTTATTTTTTCTCCCTCGATAAAATAGTTAACACAATTTTAAGACAATAATAATAACGCATTTTTATTATTATTTTCTATTCTTACAATGTTTTCTTTTCCTATAATGCTAAAATAATATCAAATATCCATTACCGCTACAGGTTTGATCCATATCAGTTCATAAAATTTATATGACAAATCGGCGCCGATTAGCATGCAGCGTAATGACGTCATGCTAAGTATACAACTCATTAATGAAGGCACTAGAAAGACGTCATTTCAAACTGACAAGAATGATTAACCGAGCGCTGATGTAAACACAATACAATCCTGTCTTACACGTAAGTTTTAAGTGTTGAAAACTTGATAGAAAACCTTCTTTTCTTATTTTTATTTATTTTTTATTTTTTTTATTTTAGCAACAGTAGGGTGCGAAATCGAACAACGTTGTACGAAAATCGGCAACGGAAGTTATCTCCGCTTGTAAAAATAGCATTAGTTAACTCTTTTATTTGTCATATTAGAATCGAAATAATACCGATATGAGTGGTGTTTGTTAGCCTTTTAACACCTGTTTTGTCGTTTTGATGCGAAAATATACCAATCAGGGCTTCGGCCTTCATAGTCAATTCCTACTCATCAAAACTCCAAACCGATGTAAAATAGCCGATACACACCGTTCAGACTGATAATATTTGCTCATTTTTTAACACTATCGGAGATTTCTCTTATATAAACAATGAAGGCCGGAAGCATTATATATTCCAAAACAATGCACTCGCCGTTCCTATTTCCTCCCTCTGTTTTTTTTTGACCGACACACTGACCACTTTTTTTGAAAAAAAGATAAATAACAAACACTCTTTTGATGAATTTTGTTTTGAAAACTATCTAGTATGATAAAAATGTCTAACTAAGAAAATAAATCTGAACATCAATATCTTTATTCAAGTCATTAACGCTATACAGAGGTTAAAAGTGTTGTTAACGTGACGTCACAATGCAGCGCCAAACAGCGCGCGTGCAAAACAAAAACACTATTTCAGTGTCGCAAACCAGTTAAATTTCACATTTGTTTGACCATAATTACTTTGTATTTCGCTTGGAAACTATAAATTAAAAAAAAGAAACACAAAATTTTATCAACGTTTTCAAAATTCATTATTCTCAAAAAGTTTCTGCCAACGATAGACTTAACGACAATTATTTTCATTCGGCTAAAAGAGCTTATAAAAGGAAACTCTGAGGCGAAAACAAATTTAATCAACAAAATATATAGTCCAACTATATTTCTACTTGACGTGTTTAGAAAGGAAATAGATATTATTTGTGGATTATAGTAAAATAATGGACGATTTTCGTTCAATCACTTAGGCATATCGGTCGTCGTGATTATGTTCCTACGCATTTGAACTCAAATCGTGTATTATTCTACATTCTAACACGACCCGCATTTTTCCCTATTGAACATAGAAGAACCGAAAGTGTGTGTTATTATGCATTTCCTAAATAATAAATTTCAATTTTCATTTGTGTTTTTCAAGCTTAATACTATAATCATATTTGTTTCTAAACAATAACCAACAGGAAAATAAATTTATGATGACTATATTATTATACTTTACCATTTTGATAGCTATGCGTTAGTTGCGAAAATGTCCATAATTCGTAAACCATACGGTTATGTTAACCTTTTAGATACATGTGTCCTTATAACTTACATATGTGGTTATTTTTACAGTTCCTGATTGTTCCCATTGTGGGTCATACCGTAACTGTAAATACTGGATTTTCTTTATAAGAATGAGTAAAATGATGTAGGTCAACTTCAAGTAAAACATATTTACCTTTCTTTTGAATTTTCCTCTTGTACAGAATGGTCAAGCATGTTGCGTAGACTACCACAACTACGCATACAGCTCCGAGAGCTATTGACATTGTATAACTCGTCTTTATTGTACTCATGCACGAGTTAGATCTGGAATCTGATACAAAATGACTGGTACAGATGCAGTAATAGGACATTATGATAATTAAAGTATCTCTTATTGGCATATAATATCTATTAAAGTGTTATTCACGTTTTAATACAATAGGTAAAAGAACAAAAGCAAAAAACAACAACAAAACAACAGAATTCCCAAACAATATCCAAAGCGGTAAAAATGAAAAAATTGATTGCTATGTTTGATTGAGACTGTTCATGGACGGTAGTGGTTATTGCATGCTACCGTCCACACAACCTGCCTCTGGTGTTAGCAGAACACAAGATTTATACACGAAAATGATGACATTTTAAATGAAAAGATAGACACAGATGTGTCCATACGGTGGTTATAATGGATCTTTTTAATGCGGAACGTCATGCCATTGCACGAAAAGCGGCGTATGGTCCTAAAGTAATAGAATAAACGAGAAAACGATTGGCGGTCTAAATAAAGTAGCTTTATGAAAGGGTGTAAATGGCTACGAAGCCTGCATATCACATGCCAGACGTCAGAAGACAAATTAACAAAGCAGGCAACAAATAATCAAGGTGATTATACAGCATTCAAATAGCAATACCTGAACAACCAAACCAGAAAAAAAGATAGAATCACCTTTATGCAGCATGCCTCCGGATTTATGTGAATTTTCATGAAAAGTCTGAAAATGTATTTTAATGTAAAAAATGTGTTCATGAAAATTTCATAAATCTAATAGTCAAATATTTTGTGTGAACTATGAAGATAATTTACACATTAAAAACGGCCCTAAAGACACCAAAAGAAAACAAAATTTGTAAAAATGCCCCTACTGCGTTAGTCACGCAGTATAAAACATGTAGATTAATACTGCCAAATCAATCATTACTCACATATTATATGTACATAAGTTATAAGAAATTTATCTGTATATGTATATAAAGCATTTGAGATAAGAAGATGTAGATATAATATTAAGATAGTATATTGTGTTACATTCTTTAATAATTTTATTGATTGCGCATAGTTGTACTGCCTCATATACAAAGGAAATATACATATTCATATTTTCAATCCAACACGCTGATAGAAAGATAGCTAATAAGTATGTGTTAAACTTCATGAATAGTATAACATTTAATTGTTGATTTTATCATGGCTTTAACTAAACTCATGGTTGAATATATGACGTCAAATGGCGTGGAAATATTTATATTTAAGTTAAATGATAAAAGCACGCAGCACTACCATGTATTTGTAAATAGGAAATAGTAATAAGTGTATTAGAAGTAAAAGTATTATGTGTGTGTGTACACAAATTTATGTATGTACGTTCGTACGCACGCACGTGCGTACGTACGTACGTAAGTACGTACTGACATGTTAGAAAATTGTTTATACAAATAATACCAAAAATAATAAGATGCAAAATAATGTTTTATACTTAGTTTTATATTTAATATCAATCATAAAAAAACATTTAAGATTTATATATGAACAAAACAGATATTTTAAAAACAGTCACAATTTTAGGAACTAGTCTCAGACATATTCTTTTGTATTAGATATTTTGAAATGTAAGGGAAGTAATTACGAAACAAATGCATTTTAAGCTTGTAAGAGTAGTGTATCCTGTTTCTTATTTTGCATCTTACTATGTTTACATATATATTCTGTTTATTGTTGACTAATGCCAATATTACTTCATAAGTGTATATACTAAAAATGTGACTATGCGCTATAATGGCTTTGTCAATTGTGTATTGTGAGATTTATGAAAGAAGGAAGCTTCTTCTTGAGCTTCTTCATATTTCTGGGATCTTGAATGATTTACCTTTTTCTTAAAATCGTTTTACATTTGGCATAAGTTAACACTTCTTGAAATATTTTTGGTCATCTGAAGGCATGTAAACTTAAAACATCATAAATATGTACACTATGGTGGCTGATTTGTGCCATTGGTGCTTTCACACAGCCACCCCACCAAGTGAAATGTCGAGAGTAAACAAGTAAAAATGCCGGGGTTTGGAGCGAATATATGCTAATTAGCGGGACCGTGGGGCGAAAAGTCGAGATTTAATTGCAATAAGACGGGGCCAGGAAGCGAAATATTTTTTTCTATAGGACGCTAAATAGCGTGTTGTTGTTCGGGCACCGTCAATGTGTTCTTAAAAAGCTCGACTTTTCGCTCCGCGCACCGCTAATTAACGTGTGTCCGGTCAGCGGCACCGACGTTTGAGTAGTTAAAATCAGTGCCCCCGCTTATTAGCGTATTTTCGCACTGCGTTACCGCCGTTTTATGCATTCATTAAACCTCGTTTCGAGCAGCCGCTAATAAGCGTATTTTGGTTTAACATATTTGTACTTTTGTAAATAACAACATAACAATAATTATAGATTTAAACCGAAAGCAGAAGCTTATAGAAGCCATTATCTAACAATAAGAATTTTCAATATCAGTGTAATTTACAAGTTACCAGAAAGTGAACACATTTGATAATGCAAGATTGAAAGAAATAATTTTGATGGTAAGGACATAATTTAAGTAAGTTTTGACAAAGCAAACAAAAAACTACAGAAAAACAACGAAAGAAAGAAAAAACACAAAAAGAAATTAAAAAAACAAAAAACATAAAAATAGAGATGAATATAAGCAGCATAGCAGTAGCGTCATGCATTATATAAAACGTTTTAAAGAATCAATATAAGGGTTAAGAGACTAGAACAGCTCTACGTTCTGATTGTTTGAAAAGGACCTTGAACCATACAAAAGCAGAGTGTGAGTTATGATCAGAGATCTATCCAGCTGTATGGTGTTCTTATAGAGGATATCTCGCTCATGCTGATACAAAGGACAGATTAGATAAAAATGACACACTGTTTCTGTTTGACCAAAAGCGCACGTGTTTGATTTTGAAATATTTTTTTCCGAAAAGAACATCATGTAAGAAACAACAGCCAAGTCTTAAGCGATTATGCAGAATTTGAAGTTTGCAATGGCCTGTGTTATAATAATTAGGGGGTTTATGTGGGTAAGAAAGAAGTCGCTTGAATTGTTGTAAAGAATCTGATGATTTAGTATTCTGAGGGAGTGTGTTCCAAGAACTGATACTCGACGGGATAGGAGAGTTTTGATAAAAGGATGTTTTTTTGCTCCGCGTCACCGCCGTTTTATTTCTTAAATCTCGCTACGCGCCCCGCGGGTCGATATTTTTTAAATTTTACTTCGCCCCGCGCCCCGCTAATTAGCATGCTTTCGCTCTATTAAATGCCGTTTTATTTCTTAGATGTCGCTCCGCACCCTACGGTGGCATAGAGGGGACCTCAGAAATATTTTATCTATCACGTACGCACGCGATGGGGGGCATCAGAAATATTTTATCTATCACGTGAGCACGCGATGGGGGACACCAGAAATATGTTATCTATCACGTGCGCACGCGATGGGGGACATCAGAAATATTTTATCTATCACGTGCGCACGCGATGGGTGACACCAGAAATATTTTATCTATCACGTGCGAAAGCGATGGGGGACATCAGAAATATTTTATCTATCATGTGTGCACGCGATGGAGGACATCAGAAATATTTAACCTGTCACGTGCGCACCCGATGGGGGGCATCGGAAAAATATTTAAATACCACGTGCGCACGCGATAGCTACCACGTGCGCACGTACAATTTATTACGTGCGCGCGCGATAGCTTTTAATTTCAAACAAGTCATGTATAAGCACTCCCCTGTCCATTTTAGAAATGGAAGGTATTACGTGCGGACGTAGAAGTTATGGCGTGCGCACGTAGTAGCTGTCGCGTGCGCACGTAGTAGCTGTCGCGTGCGCACGTATTAGTAGTAGCGTGCGCACGTAGTAGCTATCGCGTGCGCACGTGATAGATAAAATATTTCTGATGTCCCCATCGCGTGCGCACGTGATAGATAAAATATATCTGATGTCCCCATCGCATGCGCACGTGATTGATAAAATATTTCTGATGTCCCCTTCGCGTGCGCACGTGATAGATAAGATATTTCTGATGTCCCCATCACGTGCGCACGTGATAGAGAAAATATTTCTGATGTCCCCCATCGCGTACGTACGTGATAGATAAAATATTTCTGATGTCCCCCATCGCGTGCGCACGTGATAGATAAAATATTTCTGATGTCCCACATCGCGTGCGTACGTGATAGATAAAATATTTCTGATATCCCCTCTATGCCACCGCAGCAACCCCCTGGGGCGACGTTTTATGTATTTGCCCTGCGCTTCCGCTAATTATCGTGTATTCGCTTCGTTGCCCCGTCTTTTATCTTGTTAATTCTCGATATTTCGCTTTACGGGGTCTCGAAGCGAAATCACGAAATGGCACAAATCAGCTACCATAGCACACACAACAATAATATTGCGCTGAACAAACCTCTAGGGAAAAAATATAACATCATAAAATGTACTTGGCTACTTTTACCGGCTTTGCAAGTCACTAAGAACACTGATGCGACGATAAAATGAAAGTTAATACAATTTGAAGTTCAATGCAAGAAAATATTATTTCACCAATTGCTGTCATAATAAGACTTATTTCCTTGCTTGTTCATTTTATATACACGAAGTTCAGATTTGGTACTTCATTGACTTCTTAACTTTTTTAAAATGCGTGATACCATTACTTTAAAACCTGTATGCATTTGCTAACATCATTATTATTTAGTGTAAATAATTGTTAGATTTTTTTGTAATCATATTTTAACTCCTCATTATTATCACTTTCTACATTTGTATAAAATTTACTGTAATATGTTCAAACAAATATTGCTTGTCTTTAAGTTGAACGTTTAACATTAAAGAATCACTTATTTCTACTGTCATCCACTTCTTTTTGTTGATGGATACATTTCCGGAATGTGTCACGGTACGCTGATTTTGGTATACTGGTAAGGTATTGTTGTAAGATCCAAGTGATAAACATCTTGTTCAAGCGAGGACGTTTTCAATTTTGGAAAAATAAAACAATCTCAAGGGGCAAGGTGTTTTGGATAAGCAGGGTGCGATAAATTTATTAACTTTTCTTCTGTGAAAAGGTCTTATAATGACAGACATATGAGCTTATGACTTATGAGGGACGATATCGTGTAAATGTCGTACATGTTTAAACCTAATTTGATAGTATAATTTCAAATTTCTTCTTTAAAGTACTTCCATGTAACAATTTTGTCTTTCTATCACTGGCACCTGAATTGCACCACTTGTACTACGAAAAAAATGCAAACAAAACCTTTTTTTGGTACTCATTGAGTTTTTCAGTTACATCTTTTTTGCTAGCTTTGGTAGCTCATTTTTGATTGTTTGTTTTTCGTACAGCTCAAAGTTCATTACCAGTTACTACATTTCGGAAAATATTTTGAGAATATCTTTCTGCTGCTTTCACACAATTCTACTCACTGTATTTCTGGCATCTCTTTCAACAATTTCATTATCTTTTTATATATTTTCGGGATCAGATGCTCACCTCAGCCTTCACGTTTTTGGTGTGCGTTCAATACAATCTACCCCAGACTCATTTTTCCCATATACGAACAGTGCCATAAGTCATTAATGATTGTGTAAATACAAAATATTTCGGCAAATTTCGGTTTCAAAGAAATATCAGGCTTATAAGTAGGTTATATATGGGCCAATATTTCTTCATTCTTGTCAACGTTTTCAGTATGTTTATTCCAGTCTCAATGAGTGTATGTATTCGTTTGGTCAATTTTCTTTTGTTCAAGCAAGTATATATCCACCTTTTTACTCCGTTGTAAACAACACGTTACAGGTATGCATTGATTTGTTACCATTCTGATGAAGAACGAAACAATTATAATATATGGCTAATAACCTTCAGCGTTTCATGCATTGATATTCTTAAACAAATCATTATTGGATCATATCTTATCAATTGATCAAGTTTTCATTTCTAAATCAAATGCATATTATACTCCATCCGATGCTTTTTTCTTTTTTTAGTCCATATCAAAATCTTATTGTACTTATTGGTATTCTTATCGTACACAGCTGCAAAACCTATACCACACGCTGCTAGCGCCTCGTCCAATATAGGTTGGCAGCTGTATACACGTCCAAAAGTCTTTAGTATTGTACTCAACAATGTACAGTTACATCAAATTATAAGAAGATGATTGTATTTTATAATGACATTAATCTTCAGTTAATGAGATATATTAATATATGACAAAATAATGAAAGTGTGCAAATATAACATATGTATGAATGCTTAGAAAATTAAAAAGAAGCGACTGGTAATACCTTTTTCTGAAAGAAAAAATATCTGGTCATATGAGCCAATTTTGTTTACAGCAGTAACACGATATTTTCCATAATGCTCCCGAGATGCGTTTGAGATTGTTAAATTAGTCTCCAAACCAGACGATGAAATTTGAAAATCTTTGTTACTTAATAAAGAAATCCAATTAAGCCTGTCTTCAATGAACCATTTAAAGCCTTTAGGTCCCGGTTCAGGATATGCTATCACTTTGAAGGTAAGTAATATTGATGAACCAATCTGACTGGTTATGTTGTGAAGGACTTGTCGTATTGGTCTTGGTGAACCTATCAATATATAAACAATTTCATTTTTTTCTTCAAAAATATGTTTAACCTAAGAGTTACTAATAAAGTAGTTTGTGCTTGCACCTTCATCAAAACATATATGGTGACATTTTGATGAATTTATTTCGCTCCTTTAAATCTTTAATATTTATATTTCAAAAAGTGGAATTAATGTCAATTGCTCATACAATAACACTGATTTGGTTTAAACATATGTAAAGTCTGACGTAAAGTTTATTCTGGTTATAATAATTAAGAAAATGTAGGATCAAACATATCCCTTTATATCTTTTATTATACAAACAAATTTAAATTTAGAAACCTACGATCAGCAAATAATATACAATAGTATTTAACTAACTTACACTCCACAAACAATTCAACCGTTCTGCTTGTAAACATCCCGAAAATATCAAAGCCTTTGCAGATATATACGCCACTTTTAGCGCAAGCAATCTTTCCAAAATTGTATTGTAGCTTATTTGTGTTAGACCCTCTTGCAATAATACCCCCCTTGAAACTAACATAAATTTCGGAGGCAGGCATTCCACTAACAACACAAGTAAGAGGAATGTTCACATCGTGTTCTTCAAAGGTAGCTACTGTTTGACTGTCATTTTGACCAATGTAGAACGATTTTACTGTTGCCCGTTCTAAAATAAAGGTTCTAAAATCATGAATTATAACAGTGTATACTATTGACAATAAAGTATGTGTACATTGCTCATTAAATTCACATAATATCAACATGTTTATACATGTATCAATATGATAGGAGGAATAGTGAATAAACTACTATATTTAAATTAGACATTTTTCAGACGTCGATATTAATGAAAAGTATTTTTTTCAATATTTGGCCAAATTCAACTTTTAGAAATATAACCGTCTCAAAAGTTTCGTTTATTACAGCCTCATTAAATGATGCTAGGGTAGCATTTGTTTCTTAACAGAGCATTTTTCAACATTATTTCTTCCAAGATTTCGTCCACATTTCTGCATATCTATATTAATATATCAATCATTTTTATTATATAATGAATCATTTATTTAAAGCGTGCATAACATGACATTGTTAGCATGAATACAAAATTAAAACGTTTCAAAACTCTTTTGAAAGTGAACGTATTAATAAGTTTAATGCGATGGAGACATTTTATATAATAAACTGTAATCGTCTTTCTAGCACGCTGTTTTAAGGTTAAATTCTTCTTGCATTAGGCCCAGCTGCTTAAGGCAAACACCTTTATCTGATCAAAAGTATATCACACGGGGGCAATTCTACGATTAGTTTTTGTATTCATGAGATGTCTTGTTAAATGAGACTTTCTGTACGGATTCTGCACTATTATAGTGTCACGAATTCCTGTTACATTATTATAGCCATAAAAACACTTGAAGGAAATTATATCACCTTGTACAAAGAGTGTTGATTTGTATGAAGTGACAGCTTGACTCTCAGGTTGTGTGTTAAACGCTTTACAGTAAACTTGTTTATTATGATCGTTGTTCTGTGGGTTGAATGTTAGGGCTGTAGAGGTTGATCTTTGTTTTTCTTGTGTTCCAATATACCATACTATTGTAGCTGCTGGTTTGCTTACATTTGTTTCACATGTCAGAGTTTTACTTACACCACTTACAACTTGTAGTTGTTCAGAAACTGTACTTGATCCATCTTTGAGTATACTTCCTGTTACCTGAACTAATGAATTCACAAATGAAAGGTCAGTTTATGGTGATTGCTTAGATTTATTTCTAGTGGAGCTGATTTTGATATTTTCAAAAATGTAAAACAAAATAAATTAACGTATACGTCAATAACATAAATAATAATAATTATATTATCAGAATAAAAGACAACAAATATCAACCATACAAAGGACTTTAATTTAATTGACAATTACAGCTACTCTCCAGCACAAAACGGGTCTAAAACATCAGCCTATCTGGTTAAAGTTATTAATTTCGAACAGGAGAGAGAGAGAGAGAGAGAGAGAGAGAGAGAGAGAGGGAGAGAGAGAGAGAGAGAGAGAGAGAGAGAGAGAGAGAGGGAGAGAGAGAGAGACGGAGAGAGGGAGGGATGCTGTATGGGCTTAGGTAGGGACATTTAATGGTCATTTCACCCACCATCTTGGGACATGGTTCGGCAAGTGGGGACAAAATATATGTCCAAACATAAACGGTTGTTATATTTAATAAAATTACGTATCCGACATTTTGCCGAAGTTTCCGAAAATGAGGACAGTAGTGCCCAGAAAACGTATCTCACTCTCACTCCCCATTTTATTACGGTCTTGACGGAATTTACTATTTTTGGCGCGCTTAACTTATCCAAGATGGCGACGCGATCGATGAAAGGTTGTACACTTTATTTAAGATTTAATTACATCGCATTATGTTACTGTATAATTTAGATAATTACAGTTCAATCGAAAACTAATTTCATACACCAACTCTACGTGTGTGTTTGTATCTCTGGTCAGCTTATTCAATGTTGAAATGTGCCAATGTTTGTGATTGCGAGAGTTTTCGTCCCCCAGAATTCTCGAACCCCAGAGTTGTCGACCTCTAAGAGTTTTTGATCCCAGAGTTTTAGACCCCTAAGAGTTTTCGACCCCTATTGAGAGTTTTCGACCCCTTAAATATTTTGCAATACTGAAGTTTTGGAAGAACCACCTACGGCTATAAAACGGTTTCTATTATGATTACAGGACTTGCGATAATTGAGTAGATTTTTTTTGTTAATTTATGATAATTAAATATTTCATTAATATAAATAATTAATGTTTGTAACGGTTGGAAGCATTATACTATTGTGAACACATTAACCACGTCTGTGCCAGAGGGTCCATTTGACCATTTTATTTTCCTACTTTGAAGTTTCACGACTCCAGTTGAGTGAGAAAAAAAAACATTGTTTTTCTTGCATTTCTTGGTTGTATTTTAAAGGAATTTATAAAAAAGAATACTTAAACAACCAAATATTTATTTCACAATTTTTAGCTGTTAACACTCATCAAATATAACAATACATACTTCACATAAACAGTTCTTTATTTGATTAAGTTTTTTGACAAAGGTGCAATGAATAAAAACGCACTCATTTTTTGAAAAGGTGTTAATTGCGACAAACAACGTATAACAAGCAACACGTGTAACTTATTATTAAGTTTATAATATTTAAATTAAATTTATTAATCTTGTAATATATATATCATTACATAAAATATTTTACTTCAGAACACTTATATTAAGTTTTTAGCAAGTGAAACATATTTATTCATAATGACAAGTATAATAAAATATGGTAAATCTAAAAATATATAATATATAGTCACTTTACTGATTACCGTTGTTTACTAATTACCGGTGTAGTCCGACTATTCTGAATTTTCAATGTCAGTAAGCTGCACTTTGACTTTGTTAACCGTTTTGTGTAAATATTTTCTCCAATATTATCGGCAAAATTATGTACTTTTTGTTGGTTGGAAAAATGTTATAGTACTACCGAATGTAGACCACTATTAAAATGTTAACACACCGGTAATTGGTCAACCCAGTATACTGATTTGCTGGTACATCTGTATTTTGAAAAGCAAGTGTCATCTAGTCATAAGATTATTTCATCATATTTAATTAAGCTATCATATTTATTTTACCCCAAATGGAGCAGGGGTCAAAAACTCTCAACCAATTTCATCTTTATATGGGTCGAAAACTTAGGGGTTGAAAACTATCGTACATTTTCTAAGGGTCGAAAACTCTGGGAGTCGAGAACTCTTGATACCTCTTTAAGGTTACAAAGTGGTCAGAACAGTGCTCGTCGTAAATTTAGAACAAATACTCCTGCAAAACCAGTGATTTTTTTCGTATATTTTACAGCCGAATACAGGCTGTTTCCCCTAGCCCAGAAATGCTATATTTTCCCTTAAATTTAACTAATATAATATTTTCCCCTTGAAATAAAATAGTCCAATATTACTATCACTTAACAGCATTGCAATGCATGAAATCATCTCTCATTATAGTCAACCTAGTGTGTGAACCTTGCCTGTTAATTTAGATGGTTAAATGTTTGGTTATATTTGACTGTTCTTAGTTTATTGTATGATTATAGATTTTCCCCTTTAAATGATATATTGCGCTATATTTTCCCCTTAAAAAGACACAGGTGGTTGTGAAAAATCCAAACAAAATCACTGAAGACCATTTACTTACCAACTGATACATTCTATTTATTTACAAAAGTAATGTTAACAGCACCATTTTGAAGTTTACAAATGGAAAGAAAGATGATGCCACTTACTCAGGGCACACGGACACTTTAGGTCGTACCCTGGCCTTACTAGTTCGGCTTATGGGATGACCCATTTTATAGACTGATATTTTATAGATGTCATCCCTCTAAGCCTTACCCATAGTTGCAATTTACTGTGTGGACAATATCAAAATCAAACCTTTGAAAAATGTAATAAAGACAATAAAACTCTCTTTTAAAAACATTAATGTTTATTAGCTCAACATCTATACTGAAAATATTGAAATTCTTAATATTAAAATAATGGAGACAAGCATAAATAACAGGAGGTAAAATTCACTATGACTCGTTTACGGTACCACATTTCGTTGATTTAAATGAAACAAATAGCTATATATTGATGTTTGAAATTGTAAACTTTAGATTTTTATACCTGATTATGCATATAAATATTCATTTTATCATCAATTGGGGTCAAATTATTGATACTTCCTCTAGGAATAGTTTCCCAAAAGGTTTTAATTGGGCATTTTCCAAACAGAAAATTGCCATTCTTATATGTACGTGAAGGGCAGCTACCTGTCACAAAATTATCATGAATGACCGAAACGTACAATTATTTGGACTAATCATACCCTACCCACCTCCTTTGTGCTCTGTCTCTGGAAATTGCTGGCCAAAATATTGTTGCTTTTAAAACCAGTTGCGCACACCTAACAATTCATACAAAATATAAAATTTAAAGTTCAACATGTTTTTTCAAAATTTTGCAATTTACTATCAAGCATACAGTGGTAAAGATAAATGACTCCAGCGGCTGCAATGCATAATTTCCGAGCCAACAAATTATCACTGTTGCCCTGCGTCATGCAAGTAGAAAGCTAGTGCCGGGAACTAGGTTTTGGTATCTATTCATGATGTGAAAATACCTGCAAGTTACTAAGTGCCTCAAAAGCTAAGTGGGCTAAGCCGCTGTCTCTGAAAACTAATTTTGCCCCTTGGTTCACAGGTTTCTGTTCCAACAAAGAGCAAAATTTTTTCACTCAGTTTTTTTGGTGTCAGAAAAAATGTTGTTGTTTTTTTTGTTATACGGAGATACTAACTTATTCCATTTCAGTATATACAAAATGCTATCTATTTATAACTAAAAAAATGCAGACAAAAATTAAAACAAGGCAAGTTTTTTATTTTTACAGTATGACTGTGTTTTTTGAAGTATATAAGAAAAAAGAAATGTTTAAAGGGAAAGGCATGGACGATTGGAAGTCGGATAATCACTTACTAATAAAAAATAATAACAATTTTGCTTTCCAAAATTAACGTATAAGAGATATATTAGCATTTTTTTTGATAAATTTATCATTTCAATGGGCGCGGCCATTCTAACGATATTTGCTCTCGCGAGAGCAGCGAGATCCAAATGTGTGATGTGTTATACCCACTTCCGGTTAGTGCGTCCGCGCTCATACGTTGTAAACCGAAATTGATAAAATGGATACTTTGTATCATCATTTTCTATTTACAAGTTAAAATTGTACATTTCACAGGCAAATATGATTTTATACATTCTTATCAATTACTTATATATCGGGGAAAATGCTGCAGTGAAAAGCGATAAACTGTGAAAATGATTTTGGATCTTTCATTTTCAGTAACGCGGCCATATATGTGAAAATGGTTAGAAAACCTTCGCAAAAAGATTTGTTTTTTAATACAATGAACACTCTTATACATTTATTTTTCAGTTATTAGCAATTCTAAATAAATCAATAGATTATGAAAATTGAATACCTCTTCAATTTTTTATCAGTTATCTTTATATCACTAATCATAAGTATATTATATTTGAAGCATTCATATTTCTGAAAAATCTTAACATACTTCTCTAAGTTTTAGCTACTTAAAACGTAATAAAAATTTCTGTCCCAAGCTAATAATCTCGACTATTTAGAGCGTGAAAAATCAATACTGTCACATCATTTAGAGTGTTATAGTCGTCTCCTAATATACGTTGCAAGTGATAATAAGTAAACATCCTGTTCAACAAACATAGACCAGTATATTATAATTGCAGTAGGCGAGAGATTTATGACACTTGTGCAGATTAAAAGACCATAAAAGATTATCAAATTGACATCCTTATCAAATTGTTAATTGATTAACAATAACTTGTTATTAACACGCTAGATGGACGCGATCATCAAGGTTGTATAAAAGTTAATACAATTTTACAATGAGAGTAAATTTGAAAAAAATCCATATTTTGTTTTATTCAATTTCTTCAATATTTATCGAAGTTAATGTAGTTCATGGTGTAAGATAAAACTTTCATTTACTTGTTATGGACTTAGTTCTGCTGCCTTTGAAAGCTATTGTCATACATGTAATATATACGGTCCCTGTCTGAATAAAAGAGACATCTATGACATTGCGATCTAACATAATCATGTTAAAAGAGGAATGTTGTGTTTTGCATATCGTCGAAATTGCCAAGTGTTCAAACACATTTTCTTTAATAAAAAAAAATTCTATTATTAAACAGTTTTCACAAGCATAAAAGTCTTGTAAGTCAAAGTTTGTGACGCATATTGCAGTTCTATGCAATTCAACATCTCGGACATTTCAGTGATATTGAATTCATGTTCGAAATAATACAAGATCAGTCCATCAGATTCAAGTCTTTCAATTTTTCTTTCTTTCTTTTCAATAACGATGGCGAATGTTCAGTCGAAATACTTCTGCTATATATCATTAACGACTGAAGGGTTATGATTGGACGGTAATGTAGTGGGTATCATACGTCACGCGCACCTGCATTTCGACTGGTCAATTTACAAAATGGCGCGGCCCTTGGGTTGATAAAGTAGCGAGAAATCGATTATTTGATTTTAAAAATTTAGCTTATATAATCGGCTTTTTTAAATAGGTAACATTTATATCAATAATTTATCGCAAGTTTTATCAAATAAAAGATTTTTTCACAGCCTTGCCTTTCCCTTTAAAAAAAAGTGAAAAAAGTTGGCTCCTATTGGGACTTGTACCTATGAACCAATGGGCAAAATAAGCTTTCGGAGACAGCAGCTGAAGCTGTAACGGGTTTGTTGTAGTCCCCATGCGACTCTACACAGGACTTATCTATGGGTCACTTATCTATCACCCCTGAGCATTTTTCAAAGGGGAAATGTGAAAAAACATTAGACTTAAATGACGCCGGAGAGTCAACAAGCTGTCTTTTGTGAGTAATTATTTTTACACACACCAAGAAAAGAAATGACGGGCGCTGATTGGATAAAATCTGAGCGCGTTCTATTGACCATGCCTCGATGTACCAAAAATTTAGCACAGTAATCACTATCTATAAACAAAATCACTGTAGCATTTATAGCAACTCTGTAAAATTCAATGTTTATTCTCTTTTGAGATTTAATACACAACATCACGTACTTCCTATAACTGTATCATTTATAGCAAGACTATACTATGCAACTTGTATCATTTCTTGCGATCACTGGAAGTAGATCTTGTTAGTGGTAGTCAGATAATCTGTCTGAAGCTTGGAATTCACCTATATTTGAAATAAGTTGAATTGTTGCACTCCTAAATTCAAGTAACTAAATTCTTGGCTTATATGCAAGTTTTGTATACATTTATACCTATTTTCTTTATAGGTCGCAAAAGCATTGATCCAATGCAACAAGCCAAGGAATGGGTTAATCATGAAGATCCACCTGGATTTCGAATTGCTGACTTTGGCATAAAAGGTAAGAGATTCTGTTAATTTTAACCACATGACTAAGGTAAAAACTAAATGGTTTTTACCACCTGTTTGACATATGCTGCACCAGATGAAAATTAACCTTTTGGATATATTTTGCGATGTTGATTTAGTTGCTACCTATACCTGCAATATATTTTGTTCTTTGATCGGTACTGGTAAACAGACCCATTCCCAACAGAAAATATTGTCCATTTTCCCAATCTCTGATCTAAAAACTCCCAAAATATTTGTTCAGTATTAAGGAAGACCCGATGATCAAATATGATAAAATGAACACAACAATTTTTTTTATCCAGTTGGAAATAGTCAGGTACCGATTAGATTGGGAAATTTCACATTGTTAAATCTTATGATTGGCAAAAAGAAGATGAACATTTCTTTTTACGTTTCCGTAAATTACTGGAGACTGGTATTCAGTATCAACAATATTGTAGATCTTTCACGATAAAACGTTGGAAACCAGTCTCAGTTAAACAGTCATGGCCGTTTTGACGGGATTTACGCTTAACACAAACAGCATCAGAGTAGCTCCCTTTATTGTTTACAAATATTGGCTGTAACAATTATGGCAAAATTTAGCTAAACTTTTAGGTTTTTTTTCACTACAAATTGTGAGAAAACATACTTTTTGGCAATTGGGAATGGGTCTGGTACTGGACAGGTCCGGATCAAATTGGGAAAGGGTCTCCTTACCGGATCCGTCTAAAGACGGTTAAAAAATGCTGGAACACCAATCATTCCACTCGAGAATCTTAAGATAACATACAGGATAAATATATTATGTACGATTAAAATCAGCGTGCCAACAAAAAGGTCGTGACTGTGAGTCTTAATGACCATATTTCTGAAAATTGTACACTAGAGCTGCAACAAATACACCAGGTAGCGAATATGAATACGTATCATGATACAGGGTAACGATTACGAATATTTATTCATGAATAGCAAAGTAACATACATGAAGGCTGGTTTATACTTTAATGAAAAAAAAAACCCCAATTGTTGAAAGAGTTTAATGAGGTATTTTCAACATTCATGCTTACCAACTCTTCCGTTTTAGACGGGAGTCTCCCGTTTTTAACTCATTATCCCCCCTACCCTGCTCGGGAGATAGAATCTCCCGCTTTGTACAGCGATACCGCAAAAAATATCAATGTACATTTTTTTATTAAAAATGCACTCGTTCGAAAGTTAATCAGTGCTACTTTAGTGGATGACGTAATCGAGTCACTCTTGGCGAAACAAGGGTTGTTGACGCATATATTGACCCGTGTAATGATTAGCGAGTTTGTTAAAAAAGTTGGGATTATGTCATTGAAATTGCAGATCACTGTTAATTACATGACTGTTGATTTAGTTTTGATAATTATGTGTCATTATGGAATGCACATGTTAATTACGTACCAGCAATATATGCCCACTCATTTTTTAAATAAAGGGTACAATCATGTAACCCCTGTCTCTGCAAACTGGGGTTACATCTAAAAAATTGGGGGTACAGGATACATCAAAACTAAGTCATTGTCTGATACTAAGGCTTGTATTAGTTCAGTATACAATGCAGATGTTGGCTGTTTATGAAAATAGACATCTTCTAATATATATTCATTCACGTATACGCAATACAATTTATCCTATATCACATACACTTTTTTCCAAAGGTGTTCGGCGCGTTGATTGGTCACTACCCCCGTGCCACCCCCCCCCCCCCTCTCACCCACTCTACAACCCTCCTACCTCAAAACCATGTAAACTGCAGTATTTTTCATTTTAAACATGTTTTAATATTTGGTATATGCTTTTAATTCAATTACCTTCATCTCCCACAAAAACTAAAAAAATGCTATATTTATATTACTAAATATAAATATATCATTTTTTTAGTTTTTGTGGGAGATGAATTTCTGCATTTTGCAGACCGCTAGTCTATGATAATTATACCACGCATATGACGGAGGTTGAGACTAAAACATTTACCAAATCTGTACAGGATACGTTATTTTAGCATAGCGGAAGTACGATTTAGACCGTCCCAAACATTCGTCAATTACATTGCCGATTTCACGGTGTAAAATGGGAGTTTTAAAATTGTGCGTGCATGTACCCTTTCCATGTGATTTTTGTGAGTGCATCCAGTATTTTGTATGTGAAACACGCACTGAAGTGCCTTAATGGGCATGCTGACATACTGAAAAACATTAAAGAAGCAGTAAGTATTTGAAATGGATATATGATTGAAAAATTTGTTTTGTTTACTTAAAATAATTTTGAGCAAATTATCCGTTGAAATAAATACTTATGAAGATTAAGTTAATGCACATTTCATTTTGAAAGGTTTCTTTCTTATTGAAATAAATCATCAAAAGATACATGCAATGAAAGCATTTGTTATGTATGATGAGAAATAAAGAGAACTAACTTTTGATCATCAAGAAATAAATGCAATGAGAGAATGTGTTATCTACAATATTATGAGAACTGTACTTAACTGGCTTTTGAGACCAAGAGACAGAAGTTGTAAAAATTGTTGACAGCATGCTGATATGTCACATTGTTTTGAATGTCATTTATATCATGTGAAAATTAAGTCTCAAACAGTAAAGCGCCACCGCAAAAATCTCCCTCTTTAACGCCAAAAACTCCCTCTTAAAAATCTCAAATCTCCCTCCTAGAGTCTGAAAAAAGTTGGTAAGCATGAACATTGGACGCAAATAAAATAAAACAATGCTTAAATTTACTTAGTTTCATTTACACTTTCCTAGTGAAATTAGATTTGAACAAAAGTAACATACTTCAATGAAAAAACCCAACTAATGAATTTGCACAAGTCTTCTACTTTTCTGTTTTAATTCAAGAAAATAAAATAAAAGTTATTTTTTCTCAAAAATATGTTTGAATCTTGTTATTGTATAAACGAGACAAAGCTACATGCATGTCTGATTGACTGATTCACCTTGCATGTTTCTAATTCGAACAAATTTACATTACATTCATTAGGCAATTACTGTACATTGTTTTGATAATGATAAAATTATAGACCCTTTTAAAAGTTATAAAATAAGGAAAGAGAATCAGATAAATTCAAAGGTTTCACTAAATACATGAATAGCTATCAATGCATTCATGTACATAGCGCGTGAAAATCTACACTAAAAAATTTCATTTGGCAGTAAACACGGCATACCCAATTTCGTGGCTACATTATTTGCATATTGTAGACGTATCCTTTGTAATATATTTGTCTCCATCTTTTGTTCTTGGAAATCTGAAATATTTCCATACAGGTGATTTTTATTTGGCAGGAGCATCGACGATTGTTTCATTGGATGACATATTGCGGGAAATATTTCAGACTTGTTTGTGTTGTTGTAAAGTCGTCTACATGTATACAAATTTTGATTTTTGGGTTTTGAGAATAATTTTATTATTTTTTAGATTTTAAAAAATAATTAAATGTCCAAATATATTCTAAACTAAGGCTTCATTTCTGAAAATAAATGTTTTACTATGTCATATTTTGTTTATTTTTGCGACAAATGTGCCCCGGTCACATTTACTCAATGCATTTAATTGGGGTAAATATGAGAGTTGTTATACACATTCAGTGTCAATATATTGGGTTAAATATTACTATAATTTATTTTTTAAGCAAGACTTTTCATCTTGAATGATTGTATTCGTAAATATTTGAATATTTTGCTGGCGAATAACAAATACAATTCGAGTACTGGCCATATTCGGTGCACCGTATATGGTGCACCAAATATACAAGTGTATCATTGCAGCTCTATTGTACACTGAATTGCCACGATTTTGTTTTGTCACGTTTTCTAGACCGCACATTTTTATGCTTTTTAGCAGATTCAGGTATTTGAAGTGTAAGCATAAAATATCTGTTAAATAATAACTTATCTTTATTTTTCAAAGGGTTGACTTTGACTGAGAGACTAGTACAGTTTTTCATGAACTTCATATAAGATACATAATTAGGATGTAATTTGAAAGTGAATGTGTTAAATTAGAATTTAAAAGCTATTGAAATTTGTTGTTGCTGAAAATTCCCAATTTCATGTAAATTGTCGTGATTTTTCCCTATACCATCGGTACCAGACCCATTCCCAAATTGCTAGAAACAAATCGCTGTTTACCCAACCATAATTTCAATTTTGCCAGAGTAGGGAATCGGAAACAAACCATATTTTATTTTTGGCCTTAGACAAAGAAGGGATAATGTTATTTGATAAAAAAAAGTCTGGAAAAAAAATCATCAATGGTATTCTCATTGGCCTGGTCTTGAAAGTAAATTTCCTGTTTCCTCATATAGCTGACATAGACAAGTCAAATGTTGTATTGTTTTGAATGGACACATAACCATGAAGACAGCTAAATGGCGTTAATCTGTTTGTCATTGCAGCACACCTTTCCATCTTATCATGTAATATCTTTACACTATTTTTCAACTTGATGAAATAAATGAACAAAATAAACCTCATTAGTCAATTAAAATTTTAGTGTACTACTGGCTTGGACAGTCTTTTTAATATTAACAACCAAATTGTTATTTTTTTTACTCTGATTCTCTAGTCTAGTAGTCTGATACTATTGGTTTACAGAGTCATATATAATATAATGTCCTTTCTAGGTAGAGGTATAGTGACAGAAGTTGAAAGAAAGAGGGGTGATTTCCTTCTTGTGTATAAGGGGGAAACAGTCAGTGCAGATGAAGGGGAGAGAAGGGAAGAAGACAGTTGTTCCGGATACAGATTTTTCTTTAAATCTAAAGGAAGAGAGCTCTGGTGAGGAAATATATGCTTGTTAGATTTTTATTTGCCTGTTCGAAACTTCTGCCTAGGCAGGGTTCAATATAAGACATTGACTTCAAACTTTGAAGATAGCTTTATGGCTATGAGGCAAATTGCACTGCCTGCACAAGAACCATTGCTTGACCTAGTGGATTTTTTTAATTCAGTGATTTTGTTTGGGTTTTTCACAACCACCTGTATCTTTTTAAGAAGAAAATATAGGGCAATATATCATTTTAAGAGGAAAATCTATAATCATACAATAAACTAAGAACAATCAAATATAGCCAAACATTTACCCATCTAATTTACAGGCAAGGTTCAAACACTAAGTTGACTATAATGAGAGATGATTTCATGCATTGCAATGCTGTTAAGTGATTGTAATACTGGACTTTTTTATTTTAAGGGGAAAATATTAGTTAAATTTAGGGGAAAATATAGCATTTTTGAGCAAGGGGAAACAGCCTGTATTCGGCTGTAAAATATACAAAAAAAATCACTGTATTGCCCTTTAATTGCTTTTTAGAGCATTGCTGCCGCATAATTTTTAGAGCACCTCATACTTGCAGCATTATCTTAAAAAGTATGTTATATAAGGCATTAGCTTGAAAGTTTGAATATAGCTTGGTTGCATTGAGGCAAATTATTTTGCATAAGAACCATAATTCTACCTAGTGCAGTTTTGAGTTATTGCCCTCTGAGGCCATCCTTAAAAAATTCTTTGTTTGCAGTAACGCGACCCAGAATTTTAGGTATGAGTAGGTAAGTCGATTTTTTTTTTTTTTTTCGTGTGTGTCTAGGTCCACTTAAATCATTAAAATCATTACTGAGTGTGCAGAATCAAAATGTAACTGCACAATCATAGTCATAAAAAAGAAGGCATGTGTCTTTATCATTTTGTATTTCAAAAGATTACATGAAATTTATATGGATGACATACATACAAAATACAATTTCTTAAAAAAAATATTGGGAATTTTTTGTTAACATTGATTACAACCAGTGTTTTCATATAGACAAGATTATACTAAATTAATTTAACATTTCAGTGTTTAAATATTATACAAAAAAATTCAGAGATATATGCTTTATAATTAATCTTTAATGAATGAAACAATAGTCACATGAGAAAGATTGTCAAAAATCATGTTTCAACAGCCATTATGAACCAATTAAGCATAATTATACAATGTCATTAATCCATGAATAAGATTATTGACATTTGATAAATTTTTCTTATAAAATCATTTAAAAGGCAAAAGAGAACTTGTACATATACTGTTTTCTCGTATTCTTAGGGTGCTAAGGTTAAATTAAATTTTCTAAAAGGATTAAAATGTCTTCTGAAGGAGAAAGATACCTTACTTGCACAGAAATATATATTTAACAAATCTAACTTGACAAAAACAACAGTGAAAGTTTACGTAGAACAATTGTTATGACTTTCTAGATACTGACCATGACTCTCTAGATTATCTAGACACTTTCTCATATTCTCAGGGGATTTTGATTGGCTGCTATTGACAATAGCTATATGCAATTTTCATTCTACACATAAGTTTATATTTTGTAGTTCAACCTCGATTAGTATATACAAAGAAATTGTAGTCAGTAAATTAATTTTAGAAAAGTTGATATGTTTTTGGATATCTTTTTGTCATGTGCGTTGATTCCTTTCGTTTTAACTAATCCCAGGAATATGAGAAACCCTGAGAATACGAGAAACAGGGATACCTACTGTTACTCAGCAACTTTAGGAACTGTTTCAATCAAGGACACTAAAAGCATCTTTTGATGGACTCTAAGGCATATTTTGTCAAATTTTGGTTGCAAATTATCATCTTATATGTCACTACATAATTACAAATTGTTAAAAAAAAAAATTATATATATGTGTCTTTATAAATACATGTATGTCTTATTTCAACTTTGGAACTTGAGATTTGGTTTGATTGCTCTCGAAGGAACGACTTTTACCAGAATTTTTATTCAGTAGAGATAACATCATTTTGTTGAAACAAATTTGCTTAATGGTAGAAATTTATATCTAATTATAACAGAAAATCAACTTCTTTTTCGTATTTGTATGAGTGCAGAGTTGGATCAGGGCCAAGTTAACTCTTTACCCCAAGCGTGAGGCATCACTATCAAGAATTTTCATATTGAAAGTGATATATTTTAAATTTTCATAATAAAAGTCAATAAGACTTTTAATATTGTTAGATGGATTTGTATCAAATTGTTCCATTGAAAAAATAGTTCTTGCTGCATTAATTTTGTCATTATTTTCCAAATCGTTGCGGCCCAAAAATTAGCTATTCATTTTTCTTTTAATAGTCGATCTCTTCAAACACAAAAAACATGTGCTATTTTGGTTTAAATTTCCTGATTGTATTTTTTTTGGCAAGTATCATGGATATACTATCATTTGAGAAATCTTAACGGTTACAGCTAATCTATACGAAATGTTTGATCGGCATTTTCATGAGCGCCGCCACCTTTCAAGTCGAAACTACCGAAAAGAAAATTTAAACACGGAAAGGACATATTTCACGGACTGATTTTTCGGCTGCAAAAAAAATCTCTTTGAAGTCTCAATAAAAATGTATGAGTCGGGGTGATTTTTGTGAGTCGGTCGCGTTACTGCAAACAAACATTTTTTTAAGGATGGCCTGATTGATTTTTTTCAAACATTACTTTCTTGTGTGGAGCATACCATGTATCTTTATCACCGTATGTCCAAATGACTTAAAACTTGGTATCCACCACTTAGTTCACTTTGAATTACCACCTGTTGTCAGTTTGAATCAGTCTAATGCACCAGTCATTTGCAACCACCACCACCCCACCCCTGTGGCAGTGCAGGGGATAGCAGGGGAAAAGAGCTACGTTTTTCACCTTCCAGCTTCCCCCGCACTAAGGGGCCACTGCGGTGTCGGAAGAAGTTGTTATTGAGTGGGAGCTACTATATTGTATATATTATACAGATCAGACTTTGAAAAATGGTCATTTATACAAAAAGAATCTTTACATTTTTGGTGGCATTTGTCATAATGTAATTTTTCCCAAATTAATGTTTACCTGCGTAATTTTCCCCCCTTACTAAGTTAAATACATACCTCATAATTAAAACTAGAGGAGAGAACTTATTGAAACTTGGCTTGATTATAGAATATCAAAATCTGGAAACAATTTTATGAAAAATCTTACTTTCAGTGGCAGATTTATATAGCTCAAAAAGTAGTATGATGACCTAAAGATTTGCATAAAATTGTTTATATTTTGATACTATTTAATCTTGCAAAGTCTTAGAATAATTTACGCTCTGTGCTAGTTTTAACCAAAATTTTGGAATTTAATGCTTATTTTCCTATTAAAAAAAGACCATGCCCTTTCCCTAAGAAAACGAGAAAAAGCAAATAGGGACTTCTCATTATTTTGTATGAGGACAAAGATGTCTGCCACCACATGCCAAATAAACCATTGTTTAAACAAATCATGTTTATTTGTTTTAAAATGGAAACATATTCGTATTTTATCTAAAAGATTAACATTTTTTGAAAGATCTCAATGCCATGTGCATGCTATCAGTAATGGATTTCTTCTTGTTTGTAATTTTGAGTCTCTTTTTGAACTCTGTGTTAAAATTCTTCAAGGAGGGAACATTTTTCATCAAAAATGGGTAAGTAAATTACTAAATAAGTGTTAAAGGGAAGCAGGAAGTTTTGTTTATGATAATCAAGCAGTGGAGCTTGATTGAAATGTTGAACCTTTTTTGGACAATCTGTATAATAGTATGATAGTGGTAGATTTTGCTCTCAGTTTAGGGAAGATCCTCTGTCTTAGAGTTAAAAAGGCACGAAATCCTGTGGAAAGAGAAAGATAAGTTTAGCTTAACTAAGCAAAATGTGAGATTAACTGCTAACTACTTTAACTCTCAGCAGGCAATGTTTTGAATAATAAATTATTTCCAGCATCACTTTCATTCAAAATGCAACATAAGTTTGTTTCCCCAGAGAAATTTATTGTACAAGTTTTAAATTAACTTCTTAATAATGAACACAACCATTTTCACCACCGAATCATATATGGAACAAAAATGCTAAACATTACATGTATACATGTATATTTCATACTGAAGACTATATTTACCGGAATGTCTGCATTGGTGTAACATTTTGTCCTAATTCATATAACTTTAAACTTGGCTATGTATTCTTTAACTAATGTGTGTTGTGGGGATATTAATCACCTTAAGTATCAAAGTGACAAAAACAGAGATGATTTTGACACAAGTTGCTTTCAATTGAATGACAGTGTCAAGTTATTATTTCAGTGTTGACGCAACTGAAGAAAGTGGATTTCTAGGCCGACTGGTTAACCATGGCACAAAGAGAGAGAGAAATTCAGTCATGAAAGAAGTGAATGGATACCTTTGTCTGTTTTGCTTGAGGTATGTTAAAATCAACTGAACTTTCACTAAAGAATTACATTACTTGTTTAAATTAAAAAACTGTTAAATTCTTATTCTGTCAAAATATGCCTATAACCAACCCCCACACACCTCCTAGATTAACCTTTCTGTAACATAATTTCACAATTGTAAAGCTTGAACCAAAACACATTTAATGTCCATGGTGTGAGAGTTGACCTTGCACTTACATTAGCTGTTGATGAATACTGCAAGAACACTGCAAGAACACTGCAGATTGTGATGGTAAATTTTGTTGCAGAAATAACCATTAAATGGTGGCTGCCACAAATAAGATGTGCGAGATGTGGTAGCGAGGACATGTGCCAACATAAATTTTCTCGGGAGAAGAACATTTTATGGGGACCAGAGAAAATTCAAACTCGGGACCTGTCCCTATAAAATTTCTCTCGGCGAAAAGAGATTCGTCGAAGTGGGAACATGCCCCTAGTGGATAAGGTTCAAGTCCCCTAAGTGGCCATACTTCTTACTGACGTGACGGGTTGGAGAGCCATCAGTTTAATTAACAATTATAACCTGCATTATTTCTGGCATTAAAGAACAAGAACCGCGAGGTACTACTATGAAGTGTCAAAGGTGCATCATAAACCAGTTTGACTGCCCCTTTCAGTAGGGGCGACACTATAATAAAAACAATTTCAACAGTTTCAACAAAATTATATTTTCAAGCAGGGCAAATTTTCATCAAAAACTATTACAAGGCTAGCCCAAGCCACCGATTACATAATCAAAAATCCCTGACATGGTTCCCTCCGTTAATAAATTCTGTTTCATGTGTTTCAAACCGCATGTTACTTACTCCATTATTAAAAAAGTTATGACGATTCAAAATTGGTCTGTCCCTCATAAAACGAAGTGTCAAAACTCGCTAACACCTTCTTATGACCCAATCACCACTGACCAATTAAAAATTTGTGCATAAATTAGTATTTTATTTAAGAAATTTATCCAAAACCTAATGTGATTTATTGCCCGTCTGATATCTATCGATCTAGCGGTAAAATTTGAGGCACTCGGTTGGGGGAAATAGAACGCGAGCAGTACCGCGAGCGAGTTGAAGTTATAAACAATGAACTTTAAAATGTATTTTAGATATCTTATATAAATGAAGCTGATTATTTTTATTATTACAACTGTTTATTATTTTTATGGTAGCGATAGAATTGTACTAAGTTTCTGATGTTGATAGCATTTATGTGATTAAGTATGTATAATTCATACATGAATAGTAGCTATATTAGCTAAGTATAAAATATATATTGTCCGATACTTTTCTGTAAATTCAATTCCAAAATAAAAAAAAAGAAAATAAATAAACAAATAAAAAAATAAAAAAAATAAAAAATAATTATTACACTGAGCTTTCAGACTTCTAGCTATTAGCATAATTATACTATTTGGCTAAAAAAAGAAGACAATATATTGTGTTTAAATTCATATGCGATACAGTTAATTTAAGAAAAAAAATAAAAGAAATGTGAATAAATGTTTCTTTTTATACCACGAAAAAATTATCACCGCTTTGCATAGAGCACTTCGATATTGTATATATTTAACAATAAGCCGCGTATTTATCATTTGACCAATTTTCCCCTATTGATGCCTCAACAGTGGGCGGAGCGTTATCAATAAATGGTCAGCAGAATAAAAATTGTATGGGTACCGTCTTTAAACGTTCAATAACTTATTTTTAAGACTCGTTTCTTCAGAAAATAAATAATGAAAGTGTACAGGAAGGTCTGAAGAGACTTATAATCAAAAAATCTCATTTTAAGTATTTTTAGCAAAAAATTGACTCGGCTGTCTCCTTAACCTTTAACTAAATATATGAATTGTAAGGTGAATAGCAAGAGTCATATGTGACACAATGTTTAAATAATACATTGATTGAGAATAGCCTAGCATGCTGTCCCTGCTACAACTTGTTGTTTTAATTGTTTTACTTATTTCCATCCCTTAAATTATTCAGTGTCACTGTGTGTGGTTTTTTTTTGCTTGTTTTTCAAATTTCCACCCCTTACCTCACAAATGATACAAACTGTGAAAAAGTACCCTTCAGGCAATATAATGCTCCTTTCTGTGGTGCAGTTGGGAATTTTGTAGATAGTGTCAACTAACGAATGAACTATGAATTTGACATCCCACTAAATCATTTTTGCAGTCACTTGAATTAACAGTACATGAATGAAAACATGTCGGTCAACAAAACCAACATGTAAATATGAAAAACATAAAAATTTTAGGCATAGGATTTCACATATATTTTATTGCTTTCTCGGTTCATACTCATTTATGTGTACTTTTTGTAACTTTTCAGGGCAGCAGAAATTTCATAACAGGTAATGAAGCCCTTAAACATGTACTGGATAACATCCCTGAGCTTCAGAGACCTGAGTTGCTGAAGTTTCCAACAATGAGAAATACCTGGCCACTGTTGTGCAGGTAAATTATGTTAATTTTTTGTGAACAGCATTTCAAATGATTCCCTACACTTGCATTTACATGTACATGTATCACTAGATTTAAAAGAGATGCACTGGAATGATGTATCTTATCTTATTTTAATTAAAAAGTAAGTGATGAATATTCATTTATAAATGATGAAATGCATTTTATAAGAACAAGCATTGTAAACAACTTACTTCTTAGAAGCCAATAAATCATGTTTTTTATAACACCTGTCTTTTTGTAATAAATCATTGCAAACTTGTTATACCCCCGCACAACAAAGTTGTAAGAGGGGTTTACTGGAATCAGCTTGTCCGTCCGTCAGGCCGTCCGTCCGCACTACCGAATAAGGATAGAGGGCCATCTAACTGTAAACAGAACAAAAGAGAACAATAGAGTTCATTCCGTAACAATAGAGTAAGGGGCCATTGGCCCTTTATTAAACAATAGAAAATAACAAAAGAAATGGCCCTTTATTCCATTTCGGCCGGACGTCCGTCCGGCTGTCCGTCGGTTTTTTCTTGTCCGCCCAATAACTTAAGATTCCTTTGACCCTTAGTCTTCATATTTGGCATGGAGGATAGTCATGATTAGTAGATGACCTCTATTGATTTTGAGGTCACTGGGTCAAAGGTCAAGGTCACAGGGGCCTTGACTTCAAAAAGCTTGTTCCCCCCCAATAACTTAAGATTCCTTTGACCTACAGTCTTCATATTTGGCATGGAGGTTAGTCATGATTAGTAGATGACCCCTATTGATTTTGAGGTCACTGGGTCAAAGGTCAAGGTCACAGGGGCCTTGACTTCTAAAAGCTTATCCGCCCAATAACTTAAGATTCCTTTGACCTACAGTCTTCATATTTGGCATGGAGGTTAGTCATGATTAGTAGATGACCCGTATTGATTTTGAGGTCACCAGGTCAAAGGTCAAGGTCACAGGGACTTTGACTTCGAAAAGTTTGTCTGCCCAATAACTTTAGATTCCTTTGACCCACAGTCTTCATATTTGGCATGGATGTTGATCATGATTAGTAGATGACCCCTTTTGATTTTGAGGTCACTGGATCAAAGGTCAAGGTCATAGGGACTTTGACTTCAAAAAGTTTGTCCACCCATTAACTTAAGATTCCTTTGACCAACAGTCTTCATATTTGGCATGGATGTTGACCATGACTATAAGGTGACCCCTATTGATTTTGAGGTCACTGGGTCAAAGGTCAAGGTCACAGGGACCTTGACAAAAAAAGCTTTTCTTCTCAATTGCTAAAGAATGTCCTGTCCGCAATGTATTGATTTTGACATTTTCACATTTGAAGCATGTAGAATACATAACTTAGCAATGCACTGGCTTAGTAACCTCAGACAGGGAGGTTGTCCTTGAGCTCTAAATGGCCATTGTTGATTCTGACAAAGTGGTATGCGGGGGTATTCGCGCCATGATAGTGGCAGTTCTAGTTAATGTACATCAACAACTCAAGTCTTTACCTAGATAAATTAGTATTTGTTAATTCCATGATACCAGTATGACTGTTATTGTGCCAATTTTATCAGGTGTTTGGAATGAAAGAAAATGATGTCCAAGAGGTGGCAAGACATATGGGGCATGAACTGGCGGTACATCGCAAGTTCTATCGTCTGCAGGATGATGTCATCGAACTTGCGAAAATTTCAAAGTTGCTGCTAGCCGTTGAAAGTGGACAGGCTCATCATTTCAAAGGAATGTCTTTAGACGACTTGGACTTGAAAGGTACAGAAGTTAAGAGAAAGGTTTTGAAAATGTAGCATAGCCTCTTATTTCTTATATATAGCATTGCTCTTGTCTGTTTTTTCCATTTTCATTGACAGATTAATAAATGATCAGTATATGAAACCTGGTGGAGACATTTGGACATAGCCAAAAGATGGCATCGACATGTATTGATTTTATGATGAAAATCATAGTGACCTTATGCTAAACATCATTGTCCAGGGATTATACTTATTGTGTGTTTGCCCTTTTGATAGAATCATTGGTTGTAATCATTGGGTACAGAGTTTAATTTACAGTTCACAAGCTCATGTCCAGTGTTAATAGTGATATTGGCCTTGAGATTTTAGAATACTTGTCTAAGAAGTAGAGATCTGGTTCATAAAACTTGGTATGGACCTGTACAGTGTAGATGACCTCAAGGGCCCAATGTGATTTGCCATTGAAAGCCCTTGTGACAAGGCAGATTTAGCCCTCCTTTTGACTTCCTTATACAGTTTAATACTTTCCATTTTTTTTTAAGTGACTGTCTTTAAAAATCTGCCTTACTCTATTTTAGATTTTCCTGACGAGGAAACTGATCCAGTAGATCTTCTATCATTTACAACAGAGGAGAACACAATTCCAGAAACATTAGGTAAAAATATTAATTTAATCATTATGTAATTTAAAGCTCACTTGTTTTCTGATGTGCCTGATGGTGAACGTATTTAATACATGTATCGAGGGCTGGATGCAAAATGCCCCTCAGGTCACCAGTTTTACATAGACTTGTATTCGTTCATTATTATAACAACCTGCATGTTTGATTTCAAGCTTGAATATTGATCATGCTGTGGCCAAAACTGTGAGACAAGGCCAAATCTTGGAAAATCCTTGTTTACATTCCAGTGGTTGCATTTATGACGTTAATTTAATAAATTTGGTATTAAGTGTTGGAATTTCTCCTTGACAATTTGTTGGCCTAGTTTCAATAGATGTATAGGTTAAAAAAAACTAGGCCACCAGGTTAAATTTTAGAAATTGTTATTTATACTCATGTGGCCACCTTTGTGACCCAATTGAGATGGAATTTGCACAGAATGTTTGTCTTGGCAATATCTAGGCCAAGTTTCAATATGGGCCGTGTCAGATGTAAATTTAAACTAGATCACCAGGTCAAGTCAAAAGAAAATTGTTTACACTTGTGGCCAAATTTCAATGCAATGTGTTTCAGAATGTTTGTCTTAACATAACTTAGGTTATGTTGAAATATGTGTCATGTGTCAAAAAGTAGGTCATCAGGTTGAATGTTAGAAAATTCTTGGTTACATTCTAGTTGCAACATTAAATTCAGGGACTACTTTGGCATGTTGTCCAGGAGAGTAATAGAAGGCCTTCTTGACTGTCTTGTTAAAAATACAATAAAACTGAAAAGTAAGAACAGATATTCCTGTTGTCAGATTTTGAACATGTTTTGCTGCACTGAAATTTTAAGACAAGACAGCTTAGACAAAAAAATTGTCCAGACCAAGACATTTAGATATACAGTAAACTTCACTTACAGCGAACACGGTTATAGCGAACTTCCGGTTATAAGGAACAATTTATTTTGGCCCGAATTTTGCCCTTCTTTATTTAATATAAAAATATACGGTTATAGGGAACACGGTTATAAGGAATTATCGCTTATAAGGAACTCATTTCTTGGTCCCAATTAAGTCAAAAGTACAGAAAATTACACTTTTATAACGAACTCCAAAATATCGGCTATCCGTACATAGACTTTTGTTTTCATTGGCACAGATTAAAACTCGGCCAAATGTACCGTTTATTGTTGTTTGTACTTCAAGACATCTATTTAAATGAATTTTTATAGCAGTACATTATAGTTTTCAAATCACAATATTTTTTGCATGAGTTCTTGTCACCAAGATAAAACAGTTATTCCCTTTTATTCTAGTATTTCTTTCTTTAAAAGTTTTGCTCGAGTAAAATAATTATGATCATTTATAATTGGTTTTCAACATAATCAAGCATGCTTGCTAAATCCATTTAAATCTACAAAGCACGCTCGATTTAAATGAAAAGAAATCTATATCTTTCATAAGTAAAAAGTCTCCCTTAAAATATAATAGAAGATATTCGATATAAAATGAAGGAAAAATCCAAAATATTGTGTATTCTTGATCATGGAAAGAACACGAAAAGCACTGAGTTTAGAAACAAAATATGATATTTTATGAGAAATTGAGAAAGGGATTAAAACTAAAACTGAAATAGCAAAGTATTTTTTAATTCTAAGGTATTGTGTGTAAAACAGAAATAAATGACAATTTTTCTTAATCAAATGCTCTTAAAAATGGCAGACGATTGTGAACAATCAGTTCGTTATATGTAAATCTGTTCACTATAAAAACTCCTGATACAAGGAACTAATTCGCTGTATGCTTACAAGGAACTCCGGATATAAGGAACATATTTTGAATGTCCCTATGAGTTCGTTATAAGCGGAGTTTACTGTACGTATATTATACTTGAGTTTAATATACTCAGAATGATGACTATTGAATTCTTAAATGCTCAAAACACTGATTACATTGGTTCCCAAAATAACGATATTATATACATTTATTTAGTTGGAAAGCCAGCCAATACCACCTGTAAGAACCAGCCACTGCCAGCCCTGTCAGATGACTCTACCTGTAAGAACCAGCCACTGCCAGCCCTGTCAGATGACTCTACCTGTAAGAACCAGCCACTGCCAGCCCTGTCAGATGACTCTACCTGTAAGAACCAGCCACTGCCAGCCCTGTCAGATGACTTTCCTTTGGATCCTGCCTTAACAGGTTAGATACAAGCATTTTTAGTCCCATGTTTAGTCTGCTCCTATTTACATGTTTAACAAAATGTATTCGACAGGAGATATTAATTTGCTTGTTTAAAAATTGCAATGATATTTCAACATTTAACTTGCAGAGTCTATGCCTGTTAATGGATCTGTAGTTCAGCATAGTTATTCTTGTTAGCCAGTTTAATTTGCAAAACCAGAGTCGAGATTTTGAGAGTTCACAAGATTATGAATTTGTTGTCATTTTTAGCTCAACTATTTGAAGAATAAGGAGAGCTATACTAGTCATCCGAGTGTCCGTGTCAACATAATGCTTTGTCCAAGTTTGCGTACCACCTCAAATATTTAAAAAGTCCTTTGAGATACTGCTTTGAAACTTTGCACACCTGTTTTGTAATCTCCCGCAGTTTAAATTGGGAGGAGGATACTGTTTTGGTGGTTGTCAAAATTGTCTCCCCTTTTGTGCTTAGAATGCTTGTATTTACTATCAAGTACTGAGAATAATAGAGCACGCTGTTCAGGGACAACCCTTGTCTTCTGGACTTTCAGTTGAAATATCTTGATTGCAGTAATAAGGCATCAGGACCTAAATATAATTCTTTTTGTTTGTTTTTGATGACTGTCACTTAAAATATTGTTTCAGAAAGTGAAAGTGAGTCTGATTTGGAATGGGACACAAGGATAAAAAAGAAAATACGACGCACTGGTAAAGATATATTTATGCATTTATTAGCCTACATGACTAGAGAATTTCAGTGCTAATTGTGAGCTATTGTTGTCTGTGACTGTTGGTCATCAAGCCTCACCAACAATTGCATTAAATGACCTCTCCTTTTGATCCAGCTAGCTTACAGAAGGTCGTTGGTTCTACCCAGGTGCCTGCTCATGCCTGAAATAATGCCTGTAGGGTCTTCCTCCACCATGAATGCTGGAACAGTCTCCACATGGCCAAAATATGTGTCAGTACGACTTAAAACCCAACAAACAAACTTTTAATCCACATGCAAGATTTCTAAAATATTTCTTGTATGACCCTTTATTTGTTTTTAGCACAATGCTTCATACCAATTTTCTTAATAAACATTCTTGTAAAGTTTATTATAAAAATCTTGGTTGACTTGATATCTGGCATAACCACTGTAAGAAGTCCATAAGCACCTAGATCACATTAAGCTCAATCTATGGAGAATTACATGTATATCTTTGTAGCAAACCATTTTATACAAGATGCAGTTATTGGTCAATGACATTATAATGGTAGAAAGTGGGAACATAAGTATCTTATTGAGAATTTCTATTTATTAAAATGAGGTTTTAATATTCAAGATTTGTTGTATTTATTCTAGGGGAGAAAAAGAAGTGGACTCTAAAAGAAAAGGAATTGCTTAAACCTATGATTTATCGTGCGGTTAGGTTAGGTAAGCCGCCAACTAAACAAGATGTACAGTCTTTACAAAAGAAGAACCCAGTACTTGCACCACTACCGTGGTTGAAAATTAAGCATCAAGCGTGGGCATTGGCCCAGGCTGAACTTAGAAAAGACAAAAAATCATGAAAGATTTGAACTTGTGAAGTGTTGATTTACATGTACTGGCATGCGAGCAGTTCCCGTACAGAAGCAGTACCCGTATTTTTCATTTAAACGCTTGATTTTTACATGCATTCTTCAAAAATTCATTTCAAATCAAGCCGATACATAAACGAGACAAAATCTAAGTGTCAGTTCGACAGTACGTATAAAAAGTCTCATTTTAAATCACTTTCACCTGTGCGTTGTCAAAACATGACCTTGTTTTATCTGGGGGATTTCCGTCCTTGCGCGCATGCGCAAATATACTTACGCGTGAGGCATGTTAAGGGGTTTTCCACTTATACCACCTGTTTACAGATAAGAAGGCAATGTGACGAAAACTTGTTAAATTATCAGAATTTTGACCAATATTACTATATAAAATAATTTTATGGCTTTGATGCTTAAAATATCATGCATACAAGCATGCCATCGCATGTGAATGCGTTGGGGGTAGCGGTACCGGGTAATAGATACACGCGTTTAGTGTACTTTCTATTTCCTGAATTACATCTATTTAACTCTTAGAAAATGGTCTGTTCAACAATTATAAATGAAAAATAGGTCCGATATAATAAAACTGTATAATTATAATGGGTTCAATTTTATGTACGGGAACTACTCCTCTTCATACAAAATAATGGATAATTTCGGTACCCCATATGAGGCCTCATAACTAATATAAGGGTTATTCTATGTTTAGAACATGATGGAATTTCCATGATTTGTGTGACGAGCCGAATATTGATGTGTAACGTTCAAATTTTGGTGAGTGAACGAAATAAAAAATAATGTTTAAGTAACTAAGATTTTTGTACGGGAACTGCTCACATGCCAGTATGCATATCCATAGTATATCATTGATGTATTGAGGTTAAGCACTTTTAAACAGTTGTAATACAGTTTACTTAATGTTGTGTGCACATTCCCATTCAATGCCATGAAGCTGTGTTGACTGATGATTTTGCATAAAGTGTTGTTTTGTTAAAGAAGTCAAGCATTGTACACATCTTATTTTTGTTTGTGCTCTATGCCATTTACTGATTTACTGCATAAACTTTGCATCATGACCCCAACCTCTGGGCAAGAGTATGTTACTGATGAACCCAACCTCTAGGCAAGAGTATGTAACTCTGTTAGTCGATAGTTAGGAAAATATTTTTTACATATACATATAAGTTTTCATTGAACATATTGTTTTGATACTTTGCTTCGTTTAAATTTGATTTTAGACATTTTCTAGTGTTGACAATAATTTCTTTGATCTTATTAGCAAAAGGTATTTCTCCTTTTTAATTCAATGACATCTTTCCCAAAATACATGTATATTTCATTTATAGATACTTTTTTGTTAAAGAAAAATGATAGTTAAACTATGGAACTGACTAAAATAAAAGAAAATGAACATAATTTAAGGCATTGTGTATGTATTTGTATGTGGGCTAACAAAGTTGTATTAACCAACTTCATGTTTGCATTTGTGGGAACTGAATAATAGTTATGTAAGCAGCAACAGCGTCAACCAAATGTAGTTATGATTGTCGGGACTAAAAAATATGGTCGGCCATCGGGGTATTACAGGTTTTTCATGACCAGTTGAAATTATAAGGAGCTAATAGGGATACTAAACAAAAACAGACTAGTGTGTGGGTATACAGTGAATGTTTTTATAACCCGGTGTCGTTGCCAACAAGTTTTACTGTATATAAACAAGGGGTGATTGGGAAGTCTTACAAGTTGACAGCACCTGCCATCTTAATGCATTCAATTTTTGTTAAAAATGATTGTGAAAATCGAATTCTTGAACCTGATATATGCTCATTGCTTCTGAATTTCGGAATTTAAATAAAAATACCATATTCCCCCCCATTAACCGCCCATACTCCTATAAGCTCCCACCCCCTTCTTTGCTCTCTAACTTGATTGTTTAAATCTAATCAAACAAAAACAAAATGGTGACAATTTTTCAAAAATGCATTATTAATAGCTAGGTAAATCCCACACTTTTTGATGGGGCGTATTTTTTGACATTTTACACTTGTTTTGGATTGTGTTTTTTTAGGGAAAACCAGCAATATTTTTTTATATGTGCTTAGATAACAGTTAATACATGTGTGATTTGATAAAAGTTTTACTGTAGATGACAGTTGAAATAATTTTGTATCTTGTTTGTTTTGAGTATAACAATTTTTGTGTCGCCTTGAAAAGGTGACATATAGGGGTTACTTTTGTCGGCGGTGTCGGCGGCGGCGTCTGTGTCGGCGTCGTTGTTGTTGTCGGCGTCGGCGTCCGCTAAAGCTTGTCCGGAGCATAACTCAGTCACTATAAGTCTGATTGACTTCAAACTTGGTATGCATGCTTCTTTCAATAACCCGAAGTTCAGTGCACAAGGACCAGTACTCTGCAGTTCTTATTTTTTGAGTTATTGCCCTTTGTTAATTTTCATACTTTAATTTTGTCCGGGCCATTTCTCTTCAACTAAAAAAGCTATGGACTTGAAACTTCATAGGATGATAGATCTCATTAAGAAGAAATGCAGTGCACAAGAACCAGTACTCTGCACTTCCTAATTTTTGAGTTATTGCCCTTTGTTAATTTTCATTCTTTATTTTTGTCCGGGCAATTTCTCCTAATGTATAAAAGCCATGGACTTGAAACTTCATAGGATGATAGGTCTCATTAAGAAGAAGTGCAGTGCACAAGAACTGGTACTCTGCATTTCTTATTTCTTGAGTTATTGCCCTTTGTTTATTTTCATACTTAATTTTTGTTATAAAAATTATGGACTTGAAACTTCATAGGATGATAGATCTCATTAAAAAGAAGTGCAGTGCATAAGAACTGATACTCAGCATTTCTTATTTTTGAGTTATTGCCCTTTGTTGCTTTTCTTACTTTATTTTTGTCCTGGTCATTTTTCCTCAAGTATGAAAGCTATGGACTTGAAACATCATAGAATGATAGATCTTATTGATAAGAAGTGCAGTGTACAGAAACTGCTGCTCTGCACTTATTATTTTTTTAGTTATTGCCCTTTGTTATTTTTCATATTTCATTTTTGTCCTGGCCATTTCCCCTAAACTACATTGTTCACAAGACGACACATCCGACTCGCGGAGTTCTAGTTTAAGTGGTGATATCTTTCAGAATTGTATTACAACGATAACAATGTTGACTACTTGTACAGTGATCAGTGACCTTTATTTGCTCATAAATGGTCCCGTTGTGTCCTCAATAAGGTCAGAAAGATTGCTGCTTTTGGTTTTATTGGAGAATTGCATATAAATTTTAGAAAATAAAAAAGTAAAAAGGTGACTGTGTTCTTTATATTTTAAACATCAGATGTTGTTAAGACTTCCAAATGCACATCAGTGGAGTCACCAGACCCTTTCAGCTCACCATTACAAAAGTGCTCACTATCAGCTATTACATGTGCGGCTGTCAGTCGTTGTGCGCCGGCCTTGAACTGTTTGGTGGACCACATTTGTGACCCAATTTTAATAAAAAAAATGCTGGAATCCTTGGCAAAGGTCGAAAATGTCTGATTTACCAGGTCAAATCGTAGACAATCCTTGTTGACAATATACTCTTGTGGTCACATTTGTAATATAATTTTGTTGAAACTTGTGATAGAACACCGTTAAGTAAATTGTTTTTATTATAGTGTCGCCCCTACTGAAAGGGGCAGTCAAACTGGTTTATGATGCACCTTTGACACTTCATAGTAGTACCTCGCGGTTCTTGTTCTTTAATGCCAGAAATAATGCAGGTTATAATTGTTAATTAAACTGATGGCTCTCCAACCCGTCACGTCAGTAAGAAGTATGGCCACTTAGGGGACTTGAACCTTATCCACTAGGGGCATGTTCCCACTTCGACGAATCTCTTTTCGCCGAGAGAAATTTTATAGGGACAGGTCCCGAGTTTGAATTTTCTCTGGTCCCCATAAAATGTTCTTCTCCCGAGAAAATTTATGTTGGCACATGTCCTCGCTACCACATCTCGCACTCGTCCCCATTTAGTTTTCTCTCTATATACTTGATGAAAAGCAAACGGAAAAATAAATGAACATGGTGTAGGGGAGGGAACTCTGATTCAAAAACACCAAGAGTTGTTTTTAGAACTAGTCCTTGTACGAGTCCCCAGATTGTAGGATTTCGTTTACTGTCACCTTTGACACTTCATAGTAGTACCTCGCGGTTCTTGTTCTGTAATGCCAGGAATAAGGCAGGTTATAATTGGTAATTAAACTGATGGCTCTCCAACCCGTCACGTCAGTAAGAAGTATGACCACTTAGGGGACTTGAACCTTATCCACTAGGGGCATGTTCCCACTTCGACGAATCTCTTTTCGCCGAGAGAAATTTTATAGGGACAGGTCCCGAGTTTGAATTTTCTCTGGTCCCCATAAAATGTTCTTCTCCCGAGAAAATTTATGTTGGCACATGTCCTCGCTACCACATCTCGCACTCGTCCCCATTTAGTTTTCTCTCTAAATACTTTATGAAAAGCAAACGGAAAAATAAATGAACATGGTGTAGGGGAGGGAACTCTGATTCAAAAACACCAAGAGAGTTGTTTTTAGAAGTAGCCCTTGTACGAGTCCCCAGATTGTAGGATTTCGTTTACTGTCCCCATTTAACGGTTTGAAACATGCCACTTTTGCCTAATTTTGATTAAAACACACATAAAGGTGTGAAAATCGACTCCTTATTTCACCGGCATCACATCGTATGAATAATACTAACACGAAACAATAATATTTTGAAATGTTTTGAAATTGATACTGCCTGTTTATAAAATAAATGACAATAATGAGTACAACGCAGACTACGGTGGTCCGATACCATTATATCAATTGAAGGGTTTTATTTGACATATAACGTACATTTCAATCGAGTGCAACATTTTCCCAATTTGACATCACGTTTAGTCTACGTTCATCAACTATTTTTTTTTATTACTAAAGTATTTCTGTATGTGATCAGATATCGATTTTGAGTTGTTTCATGTGGAGAAGTAATGCACCATCCGAGTTAAAATGCGCAGTAAAGTAAAAACATATATAGTGCCCTTTCTCTTTATATTCATATTTCCTTTAGAGACCATACCTTTAAATAACAACCCGGACCGAACAAGAATCAAGGCCCAGCGGAAACTAGGAGTAATGGCATCTGACCCTGATGCACCACCGAAAGGAAATTTACACATGTGCAGGGAATTGCATAGACCAATTGATATTTAAGTGTTTTATTGATAAGCATTTGTTTGTGGTCGTTTTCTGTCTGCATGTGTTTGAGTGACTAACATAATTAAAAGTAGACATTTATAAATAATGCCTATAATACATCATATATCTGTGCCTGTGGTGTAAATTCTTATACTTTTACAGGGGCAGACAACTTATTCATACGTCTTAAAATCCGTCTTCCTTGTTATGTTTTTCATTATATTTTTGCACATTAAATTCTCAAAAACAACATTAAATTCTCCAAAATATTTTGTTACATGTTTTCAAATTTCATTAGAGGTAATTTAAATTCTTAAAAATAATGCCATTTTTCTTCGATAAATGTCACAATTTAAGAAAATGTTGAAAAAGCTATATCACGAGCAGGTATTAAAAAAAGTAATACATGGAAAACTTTTCCTAAAATGACACTCTGTTGTAGAGATAATTTTTATACAAATTGGTGTTCTCAGGACAGTGACATTGTTCTTCGTAGTCAGGTTTTGTTAATCTTTACCGTGTCTTTAACATGTTTGTTTGACAAGAAAATTGTTGAACCTTGTACCTACGGTCCATTTTAAGTCTCAGATTGAACGAGGTCTATTCTATGATAAAAGCGGCCAAATGAGTTTTCAATTGAAAGTAAATGGAAGCTGAACTCAGATATCTATTTATATATATATTACTTTATTGTTTTAATCACAAAATTCACACGTTTCTCTGATGTCAAAGTAAGAACAAAGGGTTGAATTCATTTGAAAAGTGCGTTATGTCAATTTAAACCCTTAATATAAACACTAATTGTATCGGGGCCAAAGCACTGCGTTGCAATCGAATCCGACGAAATCATTTTTGTCAATTCTTTTATAGACGGGCAATAACAATTTCGAAACATTCCAAAATATGGTTGTTTTGTGTAAGAGTCATCCATCCATATTTTAACCAAACTTAGGCAAAAGTGCCATCTCCTCGTTAAACTGCACAGAAGTGTTTGCATAAATGGCAATGAATTGCACCGTGTGCGTGTTATAATTTGGTGGTGTACATATGTGGGCTCTAGTCACACTTGGTGTTACCCGTAGAATATTAAAACATAAAAAACTTGCAGTCATTAACTTACCGACCACAGCAAAAGACCATTTGCGACGAATACACCACCGTCGCTGCGATGGATCCACCGCTTCTGCGAAAGCTATGGCCAGTGTGATATTCTACTTAATAAAAATCATTTAAATCGTTTTAAGAGGACAATCGGCTTTTCTTTGTTTTGGTGATCAAATTTTTATCCCTAAGATAAAATATGCAAAGACTGTGCAATAGAATAAATAGCACTTATTTAACGTTTTGAACAAATATTATTATTAAAGGAAAAAAACAATGCTCACTGCCATTTGATGTATGAATTCCTGATGTAAATGTTATTAATAGCACGGTATTAAAAGTATTATTAAATAATACTCAAGATCACTATAAAATTAAATGTAACGATAACTCTAAAATAAACGTACAGAAATGAGGATAGTTCTTTAACAATTAGTTGAATTTGTAAATGATTACACATTTTTTAAAGTCAAGCGAGAAACAAGTAAAAATGACACCTTAAATAGAAGTTGTTCTTTTTTGAAAACTCAATATTCTTTTAATTTCAATGTTTACAAAATGGATATTTTCTTAATAGCTACACAAAGTAATTATCATGTTAATGTTATGCAAGCATTGCTAACATTTGGTTAAAAAGCTCCAATTCACGGTGCATATCTATATCGGTACCCTCTTTGCGAAATCTACTCAAACTGTGCCCTCTTTGCACATGCACAGGCCATTATCTGCTTAAAACAAACCAGCAATGGATAACAACCCAAAAAAACTTTCATTGTAACGAGGAAATGACGCATGTAATGCGGTAAAGTAGTATACCACGGAAAACTAGAATGTTTAATGTATTTTGTCATGTGCCCATTTTTCAATTACTGTAACTTCACAATAAGCTGCATAAAATGGACATGTCTTGCCTCGCCCGTCGCTTTGACATACTTTTGGGGTTTAAATGGACCAGTGGCTTGATTATATATGCATCATAGATATTACATATGTTCATTTATATATCTTCTTCAGATAAATTGCATTAAATATTCAAAAATAAATGTAATATTCATAAAAAACACCCTACTTTCGGTCTTGCAGCGGCACGGGCTACCTCTTTCCTTTGAATTTTTATATCACAGGTAACCTCTTGCTCAATTTTTTTAACGCACGGGTACCCTTTAAGCACCACATTTGTCTTTACTTTTAATTTCGTTAATCGTTTATGATAGGAATGCAATGATTGTTTAAGATTGCTATCTCATTTATTTTTATTATGTGTGACATTGACTCTTTTGCTTTTTTCAGCTCATATATATAGTACATCTCAATTAATCGAATGCCTGCTTTTTAGCTTACCTGAGCAGCGTGTACTCATTGTAAAATTTTTGTCAACCTGTGTTCGTTTATCGTCGTCAAGTTGCGTCACACATTATTGGATTCCTTTTAATGTTCTGGTTGCCATAACGACAAACATGAATTACTTTAAAATCCTATTGTCTGCCAAATTGTTAGCTAACGCCCTGTGCCTTGGCTTATGTTGATTTGATAATAGTTAAAAAATTGGTTAATCATGTTAACCATGGATTATCGTATAATGGACCACTATACAGTTAATTATTGGGTGGCCTAAGGTGACTGGATTTCAATATATAGCGAAAACTTTATAGAACCATATTTTTACAAATTACACAGCCCCGGCATTTATACTAATAACACAACTCAACACGCCACCATTTATTTTGTTTCACATCTATATCATATACGGCACAAAAACACAATTATTTTTCACCCCCACATAACAAGGGATACAGGGATACAAGAGTTACACAAGGTTACAGTGGGATACAGTGAGTTTCTATCATGTTACAGATATTTTTGAAATTAGATTTTGACTTTTTTGTTATTTATTTCACCTAGAGATATTATTTGAATTAAAAAAGGAGATCTAATTTTACTTATAATCGATAATCCATTAACATAACCGCATCAAAGGGGCT